CAGTGGTATATTGAGTAAACCAAGGATATGGAGTAAACCAAGGATATATGGAGTAAACCAAGGATATATGGAATAAACCAAGGATATATGGGGCAAACCAAGGATATATGGAGTAAACCAAGGATTTATGGAGTAAACCAAGGATATATGGTGTAAACCAGGGATGTATGAAGTAAACCAAGGATATGGAGTAAACCAGGGATATATGGGGTAAACCAGTGATATTTGGGGTAAACCAGGGATATATGGGGTAAACCAGGGATATATGGGGTAAACCAGGGATATATATGGGGTAAACCACGGATATATGGGGTAACACAAGGATATATGGGGTAAACCAAGGATTTATTGGGTAAACCAAGGATAAATGTTGGGTAAACCAAGGATATATGGGGTAAACCAGGGATATATGTGGTAAACCAAGGATATTTGGGATAAACAAAGGATATATGGGGTAAACCAAGGATATATGGGGTAAACTAAGGATATATAGGGTAATCCAGGGATTTATGGGGTAAAGCAGGGATATATGGGGTAAACCAGGGATATATGGGGTAAACCAAGGATATATGGGATAAACCAGGGATATAGGGGTAAAAAAGTGTTTATTTCATAATTGGATATATGGGGTAAACCAAGGATATATGGGATAAACCAGGGATATAGGGGTAAAAAAGTGTTTATTTCATAATTAACCTATTAATTTTGATAAATAGGTTCTTGTCGGATAGCAGTTAAGCCTACCAGTATCCATGTCCCCCCCTAATATGTCCTATGCTTATCACGACATATGGATCACTAGCACCAAATATATCTTTTCCAGCCAAACCAACGGATTTTCAGACAGATAACCTGACAAATATATGAAGGGTCAGGTGGACAAGTTTTTATTTTAAATTGTGATTATTTTACCTGAGTGTTTTACACCCATCATCCTGAGTTTCCATCTTGGATTATAACATCTTTTAAACTCTTTGCTAGATTCGACAACCCGATTCTGTCGCCGGTTCTTTAACTCTTCAGATTCAGCAAACCGGTTCTTTAACTCTCCAGATACAGCAAACTATTTCTTCAACTCTCCAGATTCAGCAAAATGGTTCTTCAACTCTTCAGATTCGGCAAACTATTTCTTAACCCATAAAAACATCCAATAATTGATTAATGGCAATAAAACTATAGTGATAACCAGAAAACTCTACAATAGGAAGACGACATTAAAGCAATATTGAAGTACATTGACTTCCTAGTCCAGAGTTTTCTGGTTATCACTGTAGTAAAATAAGTATCAACACAAATTGCATTAAAATTAATATTTTCAAATTTCGTGAAATTCATCAATTTTGCTGATATATATATATATATATATATCTCAAGACAAGAAAATATTTCCCTTTAAAGTTTATACAGTAGCTGTGAAAATTATTGAGAAGATTCTGAAAAACTTATTAAAATCTGCTGGAAATACCTCCTCTGGTGTTCTATAATGAAGAATAACTCTAATTATAAAAACATAATATTTAAAGAACAATATTAGTTTTGCTATCTTTATATCACATAAATCCTTATCTTCATATTGTTATAGAACAAAAATATTAGCGTAAAAACACGCAATCAATACAAGTAAATAATGGACAAAATGCTGTATAATACAGGGTTTCCCACGTAGGATGAGAATTCAGAGACGATTTTACAAAATTTTTACTGTCTGTTTCCTGATACTTATGATTTTCAGCCACTTTAAAATTGTTTTTGTCTAATAATTAAATAAGCCTAAAAATTATATCCAAGGCAGAAAACTTAATTTAACCTCTGAATCGTTAAAATTTAAAGAGTTTCAGGTCGTCTTTACAGCTTCTCATTCTTTGTGAGTAACCCTGTATGTGGGATTTCCAACGCATCCCCATTCCCCATGCTAGACAGATGGAGAAGGTCAAATTTATGCAATGTTACTGGTACGATATTGTGACCACGTAGCTCCTCTATTAAGGATCAGAAAAGCAAACCCAAATTTTCTAATCCCTGTATCTGTGCCACCTAATGGTGTAGACCTTGGATATTTCAAACTTAGATTATTTGATCTTAAATAAATATAAGTGATAGCTTGAAATATCTCAGGTCTATGACTAGCAAGAATATAGGGATTAGAAAATCAGGGTTTGTGTCAAAGACTCAATTCCTTTATTTAGTTACATCAAAGATAGTCCTAATAGTAATATTACCAAGTACTTTGGGTTACATATTATAGAAACGTACTCAAAACAGTTTTGTTATTCTCAATAGCTCTTCAAGAAGAGGAGTTATTATTTACGTTTTTAATCTTACGTTCTACTTCTAGTCTGTCGTGACTTTATCATCAAGAAAGTTATGTTATCTGTATTAATTACAATTTATTGACGGTAAATGTAGGATAAACTAAGAAACTCTTTACGTATTAACTCCTATATCAAAAATATATATAAAAAAAGGAATTCTGGATGTTTGCAGTCCATGTGAGGGTTTAAATAAAGTTCAATGATTACAATATAAAGAAATTTAAAAACATTTTGACTGTAAACTAAATTCTATTTTTGTTCTTCAACACAAATGTTCCGGTAGGGATTAGGAAATATGATTGGTTTAGCAAGAACTAGACAAATACTGAACACAATGTTATATTTATCAAGGAATATATTTGTGTCACCTAAAAATATTTGTAAGAAGGTTTAAACAACAACTAGATATGTAAAGGGTATCTCCAGGAAAACATATCGTAAATATAAAGAAATTATCATAAATAAATATTTTCACACAAATGTACTTTGCATCGTTGGGGCAGAGCGATATCAAAAAGGCGTATACGGGATGTTTTTGGGGGCATCCTAGGGGGGGGGCATACCTACACTTTCTAATCCCGCCTAAATTAAATCCTATGAACCCCCGCGAAATTGACTCCAACCCGCCGAACCCCTCAAAACTAGCTCTGAGCCCCGCCAAATTAGCTCAGAATCTTGAATTTTGGCGCTGCCTGTTAATATTAACTTTTTAATTGACTTCTAATCTTAAATTTTGGCAATGCCTGTTGATATTAACTTTTTAATTGACTTCTGTTGCGTGATAAACCAAAACATCAAATAACTCTTTTAAGTGCAGTTCAGAATAGTTAAAAATTAAATTCAATGCATAATTTCAAGTATTAGTTTAAAGTGAACAGTGTTTCAAAATTGCATGCTTTCACATCAAAAATTGATTAGAAGTTTGCCCATTACTTGTTAAAACTGTAGCAACAATTAAGTGCTTTAAACTGTATATGTCTAGTGCTACAAAAAATGTTAGTCAGTTAGTTTGGTAAAATAAAAGAGGCCAAGATGTTGTGACACTTACTTTAAAGTCGACCTGAGCTGAAAACTTTAGAATGGGATATCCTTAATCCTGATCGGATAATTAATCTGGAGATTAAAAATGAGTGGAGAACAAGCAATATTTAAAAAATCCCACCCCTGGAAAATATCGTAAGCCGCCCTTGGTTAAAGACTTCATGAACAAACAGACAAATTGAACAAATAAAGTTTCATACATTTCGGGTTCATCCCAAATTCTTGTAAACGCCACTGTATAGCTATATCCTTAGTCCTCAAGAGCCGAAACTTAATAAGTAAAAGAACTTATTTTAAATGACTTGAAAGATTGGACAAATTAACAAAAAAAATATTTAAGAAAAAAAATTTTCTGAATTTATAATTGGTTTTAAACTAAAATTAAAGTTTCTATGACTGTGTAATGTAAATACCTACTTTTATACAGTGGTGTAAACTGCAGTAAACTGCAATTACTGCAAATGCACTGTTCTTCATTTTTTGGTTTTAATATTTAATTTCACAATGCTAGCCATCTGCAGCTAATCTAGAATTCCACTTTTCAAAATATTAGGTAAATTTTTCAGCCGAAATATATATAAAATATATCTAAATGAAATGTTACAGCCGAAATATATATAAAATATCTAAATGAAATGTTTCAGCCGAAATATATCTGAAAAAAAATCTTGGATTTCAAAATTGTTTTTATCTTTATTATACCTCAGAGAGAAATCTAGATTAATATTTGTTATAAAGCACTCTAAAGGAATCGAGTCTTTGCCACAAAACCTGATTTGTAATCTAATGGTGTAAACCTTTGATATTTTAAACTTAGCTTATTTTTCTCTGACAATACAGTTTGAAATATCTAAGGTTTACGAATTCAGGATACAAAGATATTGGGATTATTAATCTATAATTTGTGACAAAGACTCAATTCCTTTTCAGTATCTCTGCTATTTCTACGAAAGGATAGGATAGGCAGATATGAATTGTTACTTTTTGTTACTTTTTGTTACTTTTTGTTGCTTTTTGTTGCTTTTGGTTGCTTTTTGTTACTTTTTGTTGCTTTTTGTTGCTTTTTGTTACTTTTTGTTACTGTTTGTTACTTTTTGTTACTTTTTGTTGCTTTTTGTTGCTTTTTGTTACTTTTTGTTGCTTTTTGTTACTTTTTGTTACTTTTTGTTACTTTTTGTTGCTTTTTGTTACTTTTTGTTACTTTTTGTTACTTTTTGTTGCTTTTTGTTACTTTATGTTACTTTTTGTTACTTTTTGTTACTTTTTGTTGCTTTTTGTTACTCGTTGTTTCTTTTTTGTTTCTTTTTGTTAAAAACTGAAAAGTTATAAAATAAAATTATTTGACTATTAAATAAACTTGTTGGAAACGATTAGCATTAACGATCATAAGCTCGATCTTTGGCTAATTAAATATTGCCTTATCATGAAAACTAGGTGATTTTTGCTAAAAAAAAAATGAAAAACAACAATTGTAAGGAAAAGTCTGAATAATTCAATACAGGATCATCTCTGAAGTACTATCATATAATGGATAACCCTGTTTATATTTCAATCCCCGAACAAAAATATTTTAAGAAATATATATATAGTTGATAATTAGGTAAGGCACCATTCTGTTTCCATAGCATCGTAACATTTTTTTTGACGTCTGGAGAAAAGACTTTTATTTATTTATTTATTGGGGTTCACTGTAAATTATAATTCATCACATTTATATTCTAGTTTGTTAAACAGCAGCTGCTGCTTGATCCACTTTTATCAATATTAACACTACGGCTAGACTCATCTGCTATCCTAGAATCTGACTCCGAACCCCGGAAGAGAACGGAATGATACATGTCGGAGATCAGGGTTTCGAAAGCATACTCCACATTACTGGTATCGAGTGCAGAGGTTTCCAAGAAGCTAACATCATTCTTCTAAATACATTCGTTAATGATGCTGAATTAAAATTTTACCAAACTGTTCACAAACTATAAATAATAATAAATTACTGTTTATAATCCTCTCAGGGAATAGGGGTTTATTCAGGGGCCTATTCAGGAATTTGTCCAGGGGGGGGGGCTCAGCACTCGTTGGGGCCTGAAAACCCCCTGAAATCAATAGATTTAACTGGTCCAGGGGGGGCTTAGCCCCCATAGCCCCCCTCCCTGAATACGCTTCTGGGTTTATTTTCTGAAATAATGTCATTTTTTTTGGTCTGACATAGTTTTAATGACACTAATAGTTCATGTTCTTGACCCACCTTACATAATCTAACCTATCGTTCCCTTCTGTAATCATGGCCCCAACCGGACCTAACCATATCCTTATATAATCCTAAACAGTTTCTCCTGGTTCCAACCTGATCCTAACCAGGACCTAATCTAATCCTGTTCTTCTGGTCCAAATCTTATCTTAATTAGATCCTAATCTTATCCTAAAATCTTTCTTTTGGTACAAAATATCATTAACATCTATATCCATCTAATCAGAAACTGTTTCTTCTGTTTCCAACCTCATCTTAACCAGGTTCTAATCTCATCCTAAACTGTTTCTCCTGGCCCCCACCTGATCCTGAACTCTTTCTCCGGGTCCAATTATATTTTTATCAGGTCCTAATATAATCCTTAAATGTTGTTCCTAGTCTCAACCTATCCTAATACGTAGTTTTAAATTTAAGAAATATTTAAAAAGCATGATTTTATATTTTCCTTGAAACAATTCTGATATTAAAGTAAGGATTTGAAATATTAATTTTGTCCTACATATTTAATTTATTCGTTTCTTAAGTAGGCTTATTTTCACATTTGTTTAATGTTCAGTCTCTTCTAATATATAAATAACTAATCGCACTGGCATAACGAATGAGGTTTCAAGAGCACGGAAAAGACTCAACTATTAAAGATTAATGAATAGAGGAGAAATTCTTTCTAGTCGGAGCCAAAGGTTTTAGAAACGAATAGATATTTGTATGTATAAGGTTGACGAAAAAATATCAAAATACAAATTTTGGAAATTTAGTTTAAAACACTTTGCCAAGAGAGGGAGGGGGTGCAGAGGCGCCATGAGCCCCGCAAAAATGACCTCCAAGTCTCCAGATTTGCAGAATGACCTCTAGGCCCCACGAAACAGGCTCCGTGCCTCTTGCTAGGTCTCTGAGCTTACACAACGGCTTGACCAACCAAAAGTCAAAATTTATCTCTTCAAAGTAGACTCGGCAATAGTTTAATCGACAAATTTGAAATATTAATTCATTCAATTGATTTTTTTTTGTAAAAAGTTTACATAAAGCTGGTATGCATAAAAGACGACCGTTATAAACAACTTTAATATCTTTGTTAATGTTTCAGTGTAAACTATTTTATCATAATGAGATTTTTCATAAAAAAAAGGTTTTTGGTGGATGTAAAAGCCAAATATTTTTTATTGGAGACCAAAATGCAGGGAGTGGAGACAGAATGGCAAGAGGCACGGAGACGGTTTCCCGGGGCCATGGAAGTCATTCTGCAAATCTGGAGGCTCAGAGGTCATTTTTACGGGGCTCATGGCGCCTCTGCACCTCCTCCCTTGCTTGGCAAAGTGTTTTAAACTAAAAATCCAAAATTTGTATTTTGTTTTTTTTTCGTCAACCTCACCGAGTGGGTGCAAGGAAGTAAGAAACTTTTGTTTTCAGATTAAGAACACTAACAGTTTTTTTATCAAAAATAGTGGAGTTATCCTCTAAAAATTAATTATTTCAAATATTTGGTTTTAAAAAAGTGATTTGAGATTTGAGAAGCTAAGACAAAGGAAGAGATTTTAGATAATTTTAAAGGACAGAAAAACGACGATATTTTTCTCAGCGTTAATCGCAACAAAGGGCTAAAGGAGCTAAAGGAGCTAAAGGAGCTAAAGGAGCTAAAGGAGCTAAAGGATACCGGATGTTGTGAATTTACTGATACCTTGGCAAAATCTTCTGCCTCCAATCTAGTCACTGTTCTAAGATGACGCAAATCAGATTTGTTTCCAACCATTGTGACGCAGGCGTCAGGTTCAGCATAGCTCCGTGCCTCACTACCAATTAATCAATCATATTTAAATGAATACAGGGTATTAAAAACCCATGGGAATTAAGTGAAGACTTTTAATTGCAGTATTCCACTTTACACATCAATATCGGAAACGCCTGGTCTTGAGATTTTCAAAATGAGGTCTACCATTTTTGTATCTTCAAAATTGACAGTGATATTGCAAAATTTGTACAAATTTCAATTTATTTAATAAATGAAACAAGGGCTAATTATCTATTATCTTCGTCAAGAAAGGTAGACCACTTTATGAAAAGCTCGTAAGACGTACAGCCCCATTTTTATTATTTCTTTGTCATGCATTAAATATCAGAAATCAAAGACGACTTAAAAGTCCTCTATCAATTCCCGTGTTTATTGGGACACCCTGTAGATGGATAAATTTATGATTTATAATAAATTTAATGAGAGTATCAAGTTTTAAGATTTTTCTCAATTATTTTCGTTTGTGTAGAAAATCTGAGCAAATTTTCCTTTTTCTTTGCGTGGGCGCTTTAATGATCACGGGAAACCAGAAGCCAAAACTGTTCATGAACTTGGGCAAATCTACAGCATTTGATTTGAACATTGACAACTTTTAAAATTAAACATAAGTGCTTGATCTCTAAATTTTAGTACTCCCTGCATGGTACTGTCACCAATCACAATGCGGGATATCCGAGAAGAATTAAATTAATCCGTTTTCATAAGATAAAGATCAATTCTTGATCCTCAGATTCACAACATAAAAGTTCTGACCTCAAAGTAAGTAACATTTTTAGGTTTCGTACGATTTTTGAATTACCTTTGCGAAACTTACTTAAAACGGAAAATTGATTAACATCGCACTAAAACATATAATCCTTAAATGCTTTCTTGTTAAAAGACGTTATGATAGTATGCAAATATATGATTCCTAAGCCATCTACTTAAACTCCGGAAGGACGAGTGTGCTATGATATAAATAGTGCTTTTCTTCTGTATTCGTAAATATAAGGGATAATCATAGGGGATAGGGTAGAGAGAAGAGGAAGAGGATACTTTGGGGAGTAGAGGATAGGTTGGAGAGTAGAGGATAGGTTGGGGAGAAGAGGATATGTTGGGGAGTAGAGGATAGGTTGGAGAGTAGAGGATATGTTGGAGAGTAGAGGATACTTTGGGGAGCAGAGGATAGGTTGGAGAGTAGAGGATAGGTTGGGGAGTAGAGGATACTTTGGGGAGTAGAGGATAGGTTGGAGAGTAGAGGTTACTTTGGGGAGTAGAGGATAGGTTGGAGAGTAGAGGATAGGTTGGGGAGTAGAGGATAGGTTGGAGAGTAATATCACTATTAACATCCCTGTAATATCGTAGACTAGAAGGACCCCTGTCGCCTTCCTAGAAAAAAATAATATTTTGAGAAATTTCAACTTTTCAGAACCTTGGGTTTCTCCTTGTTTACCTATAGTAAAGGTTAGTTATTGCTCTGTATCTTTCTTGTCCTGCTGTATCCCAGATCTGGGTTCGAACCTTCTTCCCATCTATCTCCAGGTTGTGAATTGAGAACTCCACTCCTAAAATAGAACACAATCTAATTTTAAACAGGATTTATAATTTCAATAAAAAATTTGGAACTTCAAATTGCACTTTATGATATTTCCGACATCAAAAAAATCATTTTTTACCCCAGAATAAAACAAATATAATTTCACTCAATATCTTGAATTTCTACATCTTTGTATCTACGTTACATAGGAATTTATCGATTTATCATTTTGTTTCTATATGTTTTTCATCTTTATATTCATGTTCTTTTTCCATGGTTCGCAAAAAAAATAAAAATGTTTACATAAAGAAGTATGTTTGCGCAGGTTATATAAAGTAAAAATATAAATAAAAGTTTTAATGCAAGTTTAGGTTTGTTTCTAAAACTTATTTGTGAATAAACTTTGTTTTCAAGAGAACACTGATTAAATTATTTACATTCTAAATGGTAAACAGGAAAGGAAATAAAACTTTTTCTCGGAGTAAAAACGGATATATTAGCTTTTGTAAGAGTTTATTCCGAATAATTATTTATTAAATTGTAAACAACAAATCACGGAGGTTTCCTCTTTAAAACTTTGTTAAGAAATTAGTGAAAAATTCTGAGTTAAGCAACAAAAAAAAAACAGATTTAGAAAAAGGTTTAAGATCCTGCTATGAATCTTTGATAGCACTTTTTTAATGTTTGATGACTTAAAATAATGTGAAAAGCCGACTCCTTCTGAATTCTTTGAACCCCTTTAAGTATTCCTGAAATACCTATGGTTGCTTTCATCTCCTGTTTAAACTCCCTACTGGAGAACTGTTTCAGTAAACTAGACTTTCCAACCCCTGAGTCCCCAACTAGCACAACCTGGAGTAAAATAGTATAAGAAATAAAACTGGAGTAGAATAGTTTAAGAAATAAACCTGGAGTAAAATAGTTTAAGAAGTAAACCTGGAGTAGAAAAGTTTAAGATATAAACCTGGAGTTCATGGAGTAGAATAGTTTAAGAAATAAACCTGGAGTAGAATAGTTTCAGATATAAACCTGGAGTAGAATAGTTTAAGAAATATCCTGGAGAAGAATAGTTTAAGAAATAAACCTGGAGTAGAATAGTTTAAGAAATAAACCTGGAGAAGAATAGTTTGAGAAATAAACCTGGAGTAGAATAGTTTAAGAAATAAACCTGGAGAAGAATAGTTTAAGAAATAAACCTGGAGTAGAATAGTTTAAGAAATAAACCTGGAGTAGAATAGTTTAAGTAATAAACCTGGAGTAAAATAGTTTAAGAAGTAAACCTGGAGTAGAAAAGTTTAAGATATAAACCTGGAGTTCATGGAGTAGAATAGTTTAAGAAATAAACCTGGAGTAGAATAGTTTCAGATATAAACCTGGAGTAGAATAGTTTAAGAAATAAACCTGGAGTAGAATAGTTTAAGAAATATCCTGGAGAAGAATAAGAGTTTAAGAAATGAAATGAAGAGCAATTATTTCTTAAAATCCTCACCTTGAAAATATAATCGTAATTGTCATCTGAATTCATTTCATCTAAATAGTCCGGAACAATATTAATCTAAATTCAAGCTTCAAATTGGTGTTTACCTTTTGAACTACATAAAACTAACGATTTAACAGATAAAAGATAAAGATTTTAGGATATTTCAAAAAGGCGCAACAAAATTCGAGAAGTCTTACATATTTCAAAAATTCTTAAAGTTTACAAATTCAATTTTGATCACTTATTACCATAGATAAATAAATATCTATGCTTATTACACGAAAAAATTATGATGTAACAGGCTTAGAACACAGGAAAAAACGCAAAAAGATACCTTTTGCCATCCGCCCCTCACTCCCATCTCTTTACCACCACGGAAAGAAAATGAGAGAAAAGAAGACTGTATTTGTGCCCGAACACCGAGTGGAATAACATAATATGGAAGAATAGATTTAATGAAATAACCCTCTAATATATTCTGTTAAATAAACAGAATAGACTGGATATATTAAACCTGATTGTTTATTCTACAGGTATATAGTTATATAGTTATATATATATATATGTATGTATGTATATATATATATGTATATATACCAAACTCAGTAAAATATACAGTAACTTATTTGGTCCAGAGTTATACAACTTTGCGACCAAATGACGTCTCAGTATTATATTAAATTCAGTGGTTATGAAAAAATTCACATGGCAATAATAATAAACATAACATGAGATATGGATTTAAACCTTCTACATTTTTAAATTTTATTTCAGTGTGATAACTCTACCCCCAAAGACCAAAGTACATCCTAATAGCATATCAAGTCAAAATTGAATACAAGATCAAATTAGCGTTGAAGACTTGATAAACTTTAACATTTACATCAAGTGATTATAATATGACAGTCTGAAAAATCTACATTCAAGGGATGAAAATGGGCTCTAAAGTAAACGCTCACTTTTCACACAAATCTCCAGACAGCTATGAAAAGACACATCAATTTTCAAAACTTAGTTGATTTTACTACGCCTTGGTATTGGAATATACCTCTCTAACTCACTAACTCACTTATACTTTAGTTGATTTTACTACGCCTTGGTATTGGAATATACCTCTCTAACTCACTAACTCACTTATACTTTAGTTNATGTATTAGCATTTATTAACTTTATAATAGCATGTATTAGCATTTATTAACTTTATAATAGCATGTATTAGCATTTATTAACTTTATAATAGCATGTATTAGCATTTATTAACTTTATAATAGCATGTATTAGCATTTATTAACTTTATAATAGCATGTATTAGCATTTATTAACTTTATAATAGCATGTATTAGCATTTATTAACTTTATAATAGCATGTATTAGCATTTATTAACTTTATAATAGCATGTATTAGCATTTATTAACTTTATAATAGCATGTATTAGCATTTATTAACTTTATAATAGCATGTATTAGCATTTATTAACTTTATAATAGCATGTATTAGCATTTATTAACTTTATAATAGCATGTATTAGCATTTATTAACTTTATAATAGCATGTATTAGCATTTATTAACTTTATAATAGCATGTATTAGCATTTATTAACTTTATAATAGCATGTATTAGCATTTATTAACTTTATAATAGCATGTATTAGCATTTATTAACTTTATAATAGCATGTATTAGCATTTATTAACTTTATAATAGCATGTATTAGCATTTATTAACTTTATAATAGCATGTATTAGCATTTATTAACTTTATAATAGCATGTGTTATACATTGATACGTTGATAGTTTCTCCGCCAAGGTCCTGCATCATGCAAGATTGAAGTGGCGGGTCAGGTCAACACTTAATATTCTGGATCCATGGCTGCACGTTTATGGTCGTCATAACTTAGTCATATATCAGCATGTAATTAGCATGTATAACTCAGTATAACTCAGTCATATATCAGCATGTTTTAGCATGTATAACTCAGTATAACTCAGTCATTTATTAGCATGTATTAGCATGTATAACTCAGTATAACTCACTCATATATCAGCATGTTTTGGCATGTATAACTCAGTATAGCTCAGTCATATATCAGCATGTTTTAGCATGTATAACTCAGTATAACGCAGTCATATATCAGCATGTTTTAGCATGTATAACTCAGTATAACTCAGTTATATATCAGCATGTTTTAGCATGTATCAGTATTTATAAGCATGTATTAACATGTATAAGCATACATCAGCATTTATTAGTCTGAATTAGCATGCATTGCATGCATAAGCATGTATAAGCATGTTTGCGCATGTTTCACCATAGATCTATAAATTACTGTAATAAATTGCATTCTAACATCAAAACAGAAATACTCCTACTGCATTTTTAATCGAACTAAAAAACAAGGCATTCAGAAATGTTTCTTAAAAACACCAAGAAAGAAATTAGAATAGAATAAAATTGTAGCATTTTGATGAGTTTTTAAGGTTTTTTACTGTTAAAACCTACGGTTTGAAAATGAATTGATTTGTATTTGAGATATTATTTTCATAAATAATTAAAATTGTCAAGTTTTAAGATTTATGAAAATTAACAAGTTCTAGTTTGTTTGTGTCTAGTTTAAGATAACAGTGTTATTAATCTCTACACTTGACGCTATACACTACATACTGTGTTGAACTGGAACTAAGGATATTAAAACTAAAGTGTAGAGTTTAGGGACTAGGGTAGTGATAGGAGAAAGAACTGATTCATCGGGTTCAAACAATATCTGATAGTCTGTACCCAGTCATTTTTATTCTTAGTCTTTCTTTTTAAATCCTAATTTTGATAAGCATTTGACTTAGTTACTTAAAAAATCAAATTTGATCTTCTATCTCGCGGATTTTATGGAATACAATTTTTTTACATATACTTAAACCAGACATATGAAATTTTGCCCTTAATAGAAAGAAATCTTTCTAAATCATAGAATTTTGAAATTTTGTTATAATTTGATGCATCCTATGGTGACTAATTTTAGCTGTAGTGTATAGGGGGACACCTCGATAATGCTGAATATGACTAATATCACTCTGTATTTATATTATAATATTAAACCCTCTTATCGTACAGAAACAAATCATGGTCTTGGGCTCCACAGAAAATATTTTGATGGTTAAATTTTTATGATAAACCTGGACTTGAAGTAGGTTGAGGTAGTTTTTATTACAAGATATCACATTTCACCTTGGATTTCAAGCACCTTTCTCCGCTCTCTCTTCCCGCCTTGCCTTTGACAAATTCTTTTGTATTTAAATTTCTTCACATTTTTCCCTTTTATGTTTACTCTTCTCCTCATTCGTCCCATATCTCATTTTTTCTTCGCTTTTAAACTTTTTCTTTCATTTTTGTTACTACTGTTAAAGGTGAGTCGACAAGAATTTTTCGCAACCATTTACAATTTAAAAAAAAATTGAATGTTATTAAAGAGCTAATATTTTTACTGGATACTTATTAAATCCCTAATTTAATGAAATGGGTCTGTTTACACTGCACAATGGTCTCCAATCCTCCGTTATCGCAGATGAGTATTTAAGATACCTGGCGCTACCCCGAAACGTTTGAATAGATATTAAAGAAGTAATAAATAACCTTTTAAAGAAAATATATAATCTTAATATATTTATGCCGTGTTTTTTTTGAATATCCAAAAAACATACTCATCTTCGAATCCAGAGGCTTGGAGACCAATTCGTGGGGCTCATGGCGTCCCTGCACCTCCTCCCTAAACCTTTCCGCAACTAACTGTCAATAACTGTCCGATATATAAAACTTATTTTAAACCCAGGATTACAATATTTAGCAAAGTTTTGAGAATAAACTTGAATTTCAGGTTCATAACTCTAGATCTAGCTGGGTCTAAAAATTGTTCTGATTTAAACAGCTGATACAATAAAAATTATTAACGAAGTTCATGAAATCAAGAACTGAAAAATCTTGGTAAATAAATTTAATTAACTCTTTAATAAAGGGACTGAACACTTAATTTCAAATAAACTTCCAATTTGAAATTTAAATATATCCGACTCACGACCTTAAACGTTCAAACTTTGTCTCAGTAAACTTGCTGTTTTTCTATTAAAGGGAGTGACTAGAGTGACCGGCAATGTATGGTAGTTGAACTGAGAATGTAGTACTGTGGAGAATTTTCTTAGGATTCATTTGAGACATATAAAACGTTTTCATGGTGCAAACTTGTTCAGCATGAACGCAAATTCAATCTTTAATATCCTCATAGTTTGTCCATTTCAGAGGGATGACTTTGAGAATCGGTTTTTAAAATATTATTCAATGAATTCAGTGAATTTTTGCAGCAGAAATAAGCAGTGGCGCAACTAGCACTTTAGAGAGAGGGGGCGAAATTTTATTTCGAGGGGCTGAGAGGGGGGGGGGGACCAAATTTTTTTCGAAAAGACAGCGCTGTTTTTAGGATCTGAAGTAAAGAAACAGCATTTTTTAATTGTTGAAGGGTTGGCTCTGTGCTCTTAATAATGTACAAAATTCTTTTAATATTCATGCATTGAATTTGAAAAAATATACTTCCAACAACTTTAAAATGAACGACATGAGAAAATCAATTAACCATGTGCGCGAAGCACCAAAAAAATCTGTTCTTCTAGTGTCTTTCATGTATTTCGTTAGTGTCAGTTAGTCCCTGGCTTAGACATATTCACTATGTACATATATAAAATCTCTAAACACTATCTACAGCAGTTTTCTGTAATTCATCTAGTCGTAATTTGTCCACTATATATAGTCCCTTAATCAAAGTCCCTTTATAGTAGTAAGTGGCCCGTTTTCCTCTTATAGTCTTCTAAAGTCCTAATAGTCCGATATAATCCTTATCATATTTCTTCTTAGATTTTCAGGTTTGGTTTAACCTTAAATGGTATATGTATTATAATACTCAAGTAACAAAATAAAGGTTTTTTTTAAAAGGATAAATTCAGATTGACTGACTTTCTTTAACTCGAAAACGAGAAAATAGTCAGAAATTCTATTAGAAATGATGCGCGAAGCGCTTAAGAAAAATGTTGGTATTTTATTCTTAATTGGCAAAATTTTATAAAAAATGGTTCACAATCATGATCATGATAGAAATAAGAACAAAAATTGACAGAACTAAACTTTTTTCAATATAGAAAATCAACGATATATTTCTCATTTTTACTCAGATAAAGGTTTAAAGGATATTTTTGTGAAATAACTTGAGATAATCTAGCTCTAAATCTGTTGAATGTAGTTTTTCTTGAGATATTTCCGGCTCGTATTCCAAATACTAATTCACAGGGCGCTTGCTAGAAATGCTGCAGCGACAGAATATCATTTTTCAGATTGAAAGATAAAGATATCTTCACAGTTGTTTATAGCTAAAATATGTATACATGTACTTCTTAAAATAAAACCACGAGAGACTGAAAAAGAGAAATTTTATTTCAAGAAACAAAGTTTATCACAGATCGAGATTTTGAAAACCAAGCTGTATTTGCTGCTGTATGATTGTCTTCTACTCTATATCGACGACCTCGATTGAAGATGGTTCGGCCTCGGATTCGAGGCCGGCTGATTGCTATCTTTTACTGTTTTGCTTCCAGAATTTACGCACTGAGTTGTGTCCGTCCTGCGTGACAACTAAGGTTCTTCTTTGTTCACTGCTCCACACCACACATCCTAGACAATATTCAAATATTGGTCAGGATCTCAACTAAACACAGGATAGGACTGATTTAGAGATTAAAAACTGAAGGTTTGGAAAAATAATTGTTAATTATCCATACGCCACGATATGAATCATGTTTAATAATAATGCTCGACTTTATGCAGAATCGAACTCGAATCCAGGACGGGATGTTTGGGAAACTTTACAAATTTGGCGCTTAACACCACAAAATCTTCCTGAATCAGTTAAGCTATTAATTGAAAATTTGTTTGTTTGAATTAGGCTAACTTTTTTTTTTTGAAAATTCATGCACATTAGATGAAGGTCTTCTCTACAACCCTAATTTACTAATTCCTATATCTTTGAAACTTAATGCAAACTTTTTAAACTTTGACGATTTGATCCAGCAGAATTCATAGTTTAAGGCACATTATGAAACAAACAGCAAAGATGATGATTAGAAAAGTTAAATTTAAGACAAGTGTTCAGTTCCCAGCCAATTCCTCCGCACCTGATTGTTCAGCATAGCTTCTAACCATCTCATAATCTGCTTGAGATAGGAACTGATTGTATAAAACACCCTCCGTAAATATAAACTTATCCCGCTCCTGCTCCCATAATCGGATCTGATCGGAGACAGTCGGAGGCATCTGAGATTGTCCACTCTTCATCATCTAAACAAGAATATTAAAAGTACTGTGAGAACAGAATTCGGGAGAACGAAGACAAGACCAGAATAATAAGAGGATGGAAAAGATGAGTTAAACAGGATGGATAAGATGATGGGAACAGGATGGATAAGATGATGGGAACAGGATGGATAAGATGATGGGAACAGGATGGATAAGATGATGGGAACAGGATGAATAAAATGAGGAGAACAGGATGGATAAGATGAGGTAAACAGGATGGATAAGATGATGAGAACAGGATGAATAAAATGAGAACAGGATGAAGAAAATAAGGTGAACAGGATGAATAAAAATGAGGAGAACAGGATGAATAAAATGAGGAGAACAGGATGGATAAGATGAGGATAACAGGATGGATAAGATGAGGAGAACAGGATGGATAACTAAATATAACAAAGGAAACCCAGAAATCGTGGATAAAATATACAAATAACAACCAACCTTAGGATGAGCGTGCATATTAAGGAACCTGATGATCTGTGAAGCAGTTATTCCTCCACGGAATGCTTGTCTAGCAGATTTACGAGTTATCACAGCAACACACAGGTTCGGAAACCTGTAAGATAAATTAAATATAATAGAAAAATAGAATGTAGAATTTTTATTTCTTTTTCAAATTTCAATTCCATGCTTTTTGTCAAGACAAACAAATAGTATTTACCCAAATAAAATCAATCTTTAAAAATTTCTCCTAAATGAAAAAATTCTAAAATGTAACTCGTTAAAATAAAAAAAGCAGTGAAAGAATTGTTATAACATACAGATATGTCTGAAACCACTAAAAATTCCCCCCCCCCAAATTTTTTTTTACAAAAATTTCTATTTATGACGGAAAAATATTTCAAGGGTATTATTAAGTGATTTGGCGGAAAGAAATAAGTTCTTCTAGTTTATATTATTACCTGTACATCATTTCTGAGAAAAGTCCGAGTAAGGCCAGCTGTAGACTAGAGTCTGTATAGGCGTATACCCTGTAGTTGGTTTCTACTACTATATACCTGAAAACATATATTCTATTGTATTTCCAAGAACACAGTGATATTCTTAAATAAACGGAATTTCTTAACCATTGAGAGCAGACTTGGAAATCGTCTTTGATCTTTGAAATCATTTGCAGCATTTATTTGTCAAACAAATTCTAAAAGTATAATTCTTGAAAAAACAGTCCCTAGTCCTGCCATTTCTAAAATGTGGTCTGCCATTGTCGTAATGTCAAAATTACCAAAATTTTCTAATTGTAAATGAATTCATATCTTCGGTAATTAACTATGAAAGCAAGAAAATGGCAGACCACAATTTAGAAAGTCATGACTACCCTGAACAATGTTTTATCAACAATTTTGCTCAAATTAGATAAAAAATTAGACAATTTCTAAGTCTTCTATTTAATTGTTTAGAAATTCAGCTTCTTTTAAAATATGACTGTAGAAACCCATATTTTGAAAAATAATTTGTTTGTATCAAAAGAGGGGGAAAATGATCCTATAGCTTTTTTTGAGATTTAAATTCTTATTGCGTTTAATCCTACATTTATCAAATCAAGTGGTTACTGATGACAACTGTTACTGTGTTTATAAACATTCCCGATTAGAGACGTTTACGGGGGGGGGGGAGGTCACAGATCCTCAGTCACCCCTTGGAACACATTTATGTATATACCCCTGTTCCCAATTAACATCCATTAGTAAAAACTTTTTGTTTAATATATTTCATTAGAAAACCATCAAGGCTTATACTAATCTCAATCAAAAGCGGAGTGGGGGCAGGGGTTCTCTAGAACAGGATATTTATAGATAGAATATAGAACAGCATATTTAGAACTAGAATAGTTGGATAGAATCTAGAACAGAATATTTAGAACTAGAATGGTTGGATAGAATCTAGAACAGAATATTTATAGATAGAATAGTTGGATAGAATCTACCAGACGTTCTCTAGAACAGGATATTTATAGATAGAATGTTGGATAGAATCTAGAATAGGATATTTAGAACTAGAATAGTTGGATAGAATCTAGAATAGGATATTTAGAACTAGAATAGTTGGATAGAATCTAGAATAGGATATTTAGAACTAGAATAGTTGGATAGAATCTAGAATAGAATATTTAGAACTAAAATAGTTGGATAGAATCTAGAATAGGATATTTAGAACTAGAATAGTTGGATAGAATCTAGAGTAGAACTAGAATAGTTAGATAAAACAGTTTCTAAAGAAAAAATAAATTAAGTACACCTTGTAAAAAAAACCATGTCTAAAAATAATGATTTCTTATCTTATCTATATTATGAAGCTCTTCGCTCATGATATATATATATATATGTTAGCTTTAGGTGGCCAAACGGCTGGACTAAATTGGTTGAATTTTTATAAGGGAATCCCGGTGGTAACATAGGCTAAAAAATGTGGAAATTATAATAAAAAAGTTAATAATAATGATAATAAAAACCTTGACAACGCCGGGTGCCACAGCTGGTTACTTATATCATAATCTTCTCTCAAAAAAACTTCATAACCCTAGAATGTATGGGGTAATTCATAAATAATAAACATTAGACTTACCCTTCTTTGGTAAACCAGACCAAATTCTCTGAGATGCTGAAGAAACGTTAATAAACCTTGACTCATTCCGTCCGTACTATAATCCTGAAATACAGGAAAATAGAGAGATGTTGGGTATTTTCCCAAGAAAGACTTCCCAAGTTACAATTTCCGAGCCGAGTGTTGCGGTTAGTTCAGACTTGGGAAGTTGCAGCTTGGGAAATTTAACATTTGGGAACTTGCCACTTTGGGAAGTAGCCGTTTGGGAAAGAACCTAACATCAATAGAAATATATAAATGAACTTTACACAGTTTACTAACAAACGAATCATTTGTTTCTCCAATCTCTTTAGCAAATGAACTTGGAAAACTGAGAACTTTTATCAAACTCTAGTTATCTAATCCTTTTATCTTTGCAACCTATTGTCGTAACCTTTGATATTTCAAACTATGAAATGTGTCAGATGAATTAGGTTTCCACCATCAGGTTGCAAAGATATAGTAAGTAGAAAATATGATTTTTGTTCCTTTACTTGAGGAAACCAAAACCGAATCTGATTTCAACTAGAGAAATTTTAATTAATAATTTTCTGAAAAAAGTATTTTATTCCCCCTGCAATATAATATTTTTTTTATTTACAATCAACCTATAGATATGTTATGATAAGATGAAAACAGGATTGAACTTTACCACTTGCATTGGTCTATATATATATATATATATATATATATACAGCACAATGGTACAAAGGTACATACAATGATACAAAGGTACAATGATCCAATACAATGGCACAATGGTGCATTATAAAGTTTCGATAAAACATAGATGTCTTTAGAATTATTAACCAAAATGTAGTTATTTTAGCCAGGCCAGAGCATCTTTTGTTTTTGTAAACTTAATTCAAGACAATACAGAGCCGAAAACTTTTGAAACTTTAGAATGGTGGATATCGAGATCAATGCTTGATCCTCTCTCCAGGCTAAATAATGCTTGTTTTCCTCTTGTTATTAATGTCCAGATTAATTAACCGATTGGTATTAAGGATATCCCATTCTAAAGTTTTCAACTCTGAATATATTTTTTGATCAATTTAGGATGGCTAAATGCTTATCTTAAGGACCACTAAATGTAGGTTTTGATAAATACAAACTTTTTTATATTTAATTTTTTAAACTGGTTTCCAAAACTAGTGGAAAAAAATCACGCATCTCTAAACTTTGTTTTAGATTTATAAATTGACTTCCAGGAAAAAAAAATGAGAAGAAAACTGAGCTGGGAACTTTAGAATGGTGGATTTCGAGATCAATGCTTGATCCTCTCTTTTTCTTAATATCGAGACTAACCTAATCTTGTACTTGTATTCTAAAAAGCGTATAAAATTCAACCAATATGTTTGGGCTATGGGAAGAAATAGGGCTTGTAAGTACATTTTCGTAAAAATAATGGGAAATAGGTTAGAGAATCAGATGCCGAGAGATTTGAAATTTTGCGCGCCATTTGAGATCAATATACAGAAACGGGAGGGACTCTATAATTTTTAAAAAACCGGTTTTTGATTTTCTGTACTATATCCTAAAAAGAGTTGATTAAGCACGACATTAAAAGTGTTCACATTGGATATTTGGATTAAACAGTCGGGATTTATAGTATCCAATTCTAAAGTTCCCAGCGCTGAAGACTTTAGAATAGGATATCCTTAATCCCAATAGGTTAATTAATCTGGAGATTAAGAACAAGAGGAGAACAAGCATTATTTAATCTGGAGATTAAGAAAAAGAGGAGAACAAGCATTAATTAATCTGGAGATTAAGAACAAGAGGAGAACAAGCATTATTTAATCTGGAGTTTTAGAAAAAGAGAGGATCAAGCATTGATCTCGATATCCACCATTCAAAAGTTCCAAGCTCAGCCCTGTTAAGCTTATAAAATATATTAATTAAATTCTTGAAAACCGTAATTTATAAAGACTAAAAAGATCTATTGTACTCTTTTAACAAAGAAGCGTTAAGCTAAGATGGAGTTCAGGGAACCGGGGTTAAAGAACTATTTATTACAGGAGACCGTTGAATATCATTTAACAATTTAGATAATCCAATCTATTTAGGTTTAGGGATAAATCCTGCTCGTGGATGAAGATATAATTGTTTTCCCATCTAAGTTTTGATATCATTATCTAAATCATTATTATCATAATTATCATAATTATCATTATTATCATGATTATCATGATTATCATGATTATCATGATTATCATGATTATCATCATTACCATAATAACCATCAGTACCCGTTTTTTTCTCTTCTAAAGTCCGTCCGAAGACAAAAATAACTAGGTTAACTCCGTCCCATGAAAATAAACCCAACCAAACCAACCTTGCCAAGTTGCGAGAATGATAGTTGGAAGAGAAAGGATAAACATTCAACTAAACTCATCCCTCGCGCACTCACAGAGTTTAAATACTGCAGGATAAAGTACCAAACCTAAACACGTTTAATTAAATATTTAAAAATAATAAGACTCATCTGGAAAATTTAAATCTTGGTTTTCAGAGAAAGATAAAAAATTAAAAAATGTAAAACAAAACTAAATTAAAAAAAATCTTCTTATCTAGGATTTGTATAAATTTCAATAATATGATACCCCATCAATTATATAGTTTAGGATATATGAAACCAACAATGTGAAAACAATTATATAGTTTAGGATATATGAAACCAACAATGTGAAAACAATTATATAGTTTAGGATATATGAAACCAACAATTATATAGTTTAGGATATATGAAACCAACAATTATATAGTTTAGGATACATGAAACCAACAATTATATAGTTTAGGATATATGAAACCAACAATTATATAGTTTAGGATATATGAAACCAACAATTATATAGTTTAGGATATATGAAACCAACAATTACATAGTTTAGGATATATGAAACCAACAATTATATAGTTTAGGATATATGAAACCAACAATTATATAGTTTAGGATATATGAAACCAACAATTACATAGCTTAGGATATATGAAACCAACAATTACATAGCTTAGGATATATGAAACCAACAATTATATAGTTTAGGATATATGAAACCAACAATGTGAAAATTTCTTGAAATTATGCTATCCCCGACCTGACTGCTTCTCTCCATGAGTAGGAACTGGAACCCGGATCTTGTGATTACCGGAGCATTGTTCTGAGTTTCATCCCGAGACATGAGTCCTGCCTGCAGAGCAACATACGATAATATCAAGTCTGCAAGTTCTGTAAGCGTTAGTTTAAGAGAACCTCTATGCAAAGCTGGCAATCCCTGATTCAAAACGGTAATAACCTTGAAACCTTTATCTGATCAATTTGTTGGATATTTCCGTTTTTTGAATATGAGTGTTTTTTTCGGAAAGTTCCCGCATTTTTTCCTGTAGTAAGAATGCGTAAGTCACTTTTGTAAAGAAACGATAATAAAAAAATCAGTTTTCAAAATCATAAACATTAATATCTAATTTATGGTTGATCGGATAAAGCTTAACTCGTGTAAAACGCCGAGAGAACTTGTAAATCATCATTTAACGTGTAAAATCGCTAGACTTACAATGACAGAAAGTATCAATCATTCTGATCTAGTGAAACATCCTCCAACAGAATATGGAATATGTCCCTCATTTAAATAGATGAAAAATTCTTTTGAATTGCCAACTATTCTGCAAGTTCTACCCATAGAGTTAATAAAGATAGAGTATAGGTGTACTGAAGTACACTCGGATTCAAGTAGATATAGATTTTAAAAATATTTCTCACACAAGTTGGCGCTAGCATGAAGTCTGAAAGAAAGCACGTAGAAACCTGTTTTCTCTCAGTTTTGTACAAACTCAGTGACGGAATATTAATTAAAATGAATACGGAGCAGTATGATTAGACACAAAGGGGTGGGGGTTCCAGGAAATAGAGAGAAGGGGGTGAGATGAATTTTCTATATCTAATTTTTATTATGTTTTACCTGTAGGAGTGTATGTACTGCGTCCTGTGATATCCCGGCCTGTTGACTGCTAGCTACCATATAGTGGAGAACAGTCTCCCATCGTTCAGATGCATAACTATCCAGGAATACAATATCTCTACTGTGAGGGTCAGCTTCAAGATAGGCTGACATCGTCCAGGGCTGCCCTCCACCTTAATAATTATCATTATTATCATGGTTATAATTGGGTTTCATTGGTTTTCATTGGGTATCTTTGGTTTTCATTGGTTTTCATTGATTTTCATTGGTTTTCATTGGTTTTTATTGATTTTCATTGGTTTTAAATGGTTATCATTGGTTAAGAATGGTATAATTATTATCATGGTTATCATTGGGTTTCATTGGTTTTCATTGGGTATCTTTGGTTTTCATTAGTTTTCATTGGTTTTCATTGGTTTTCATTGTCTTTCAATTTTTTCAATGTTTAAAATTGTTTTCATAGCTATAATGGTAATGATTCTAATCTGTTTTTCTTGTTTTTCTTGTTTTTCTTGTTATTATTGTTATTTTGATTTTAGAAAATTAAATTTTTCTTTTGTTAAATTTATATTTTTTAGAAATAAAATTGATTTAAAAAATAAGAAAAGCTAAAATAAACTCACTTCGTAATTAATGTAAAACTATTACTGTTGCCAAAGAATGGAATTATTTGACCTCTGCATTAGTATTGTAAGTTATAACCAACCTGTTAATGCCATTTTAAGATTAGATCTGAAGGTAGGGTTGAGCAACCAGGATCTTAACCCACCAGACATCGAGGTTTCTTTCCAAACCTAGATTTATATTGTTCATTCTCCCAAACTGTGAAGTGTAAATCCTTCCTCACGTGTAAAATCATAATTTATGGTTTCTAACCCAAAATGTTTCCGCATATTATCAATCAACCTAGATTGTAACTTTAATTATAAGAAATTAAATCATTTAAAAACTGTATTTCACTGTTGTGCACACCGAAATACGAAGAAACTTGTGCAAGAGTTGTCAATAAGTGGAATGATATAGATATAGATAGAAAAGATATGTTTTAAATTATCACACCCGGAATATATAAAAATTAACAGACCAATTAAACCAATTAATTATTAAAAGAACCGTAAGCGTTATCTCAAGTGACCCTCCATACAAAGAAGAATGGCCGATTTACAACGGTACCTTTTAAACCCTTGGCTGGTCAACGAGGGTAGAGAACTCCGTGAATTTATCTCTAAAATGGTGTTTAAATTGCCGCAAAACTGGAGTGTAAGCTAGCGTACGATGGAAAATCAACATACCTGACATAACATCCCGAATATTTCATGTTCAACACTATATTCAAAAGATCCGCATTTCAATATTTTTTTTTCTGCGACTTCCAGATAGTAAATATTGATATTTCTTTAAAAAATTGCTTGCAAACCTAGCGTTTTAGGTAGATAAACAAGGTATGTCTGTCACCCTTGATCAGTCAAGGTTTTAACGGGTACTGTTACGCCATAGTCTCTTTTAGTAAAAAAAGTTTAAAACACAATTTAAAAATACAAGAAAAATTGCGGTAAAAATAATCATCCAATAATGTTTGAAAACATCAATTCTGGTAAAAAATTAAACGAACCTTATAATATCAAATTCATCCCTGTGTTTACTCCATTTAATTATTTTTTAAAAATTATATACAGACTGAGTCAAAACAAAAGGTTGAATAGCGAGATCTTGCATGTAATAAAGCATTTTTTTTGATAATCATATTGTTAACAAATATGTATGAAATTTTTGAATTTTAGTTTTTGATTGGCAATATGATAGACCCTTTAAAAGTATCTACGAAACTATTTTTTACTCAAAATTAGCTGAATAGTAAAACAAAAGTGCGGAAATAAATTATTTCTATCACACCTTAAATGTTTAACAAAATCAGCAGAGTAGTTCTGGAGAAAATGCGCGAAATTAAATTTAGAAAAAAATCATTTTGATGTTTTTTATACTTTCTAAATTATTTTTATAGCATGAATTTTTGAGATAGGTTAAAATGTCTAAATCAGACTAATTGGGAAGATACGCATAAAAGGTACATTATGAAAATATGTTGATTGCGGATTTTCTTAACTTAATTTCGCGCATTTTCTACGTGACCTGTTAAAGATTTTAAGATGTGATAGAAATAATATATTCCAGCACTTTTGTTTTTCTACTCATCTAATTTTGGGTAAAAAAGTTTCGCGGATTTTTTTAGGATAAGATTGCCTCTCAAAAAAGTTCAAAAATGAGATTACTAAAAAAAGTGCTTATTGTATGGGAGATCTTGTTATTCACCCTTTTTTTTGACTCACCCGCCTGTATATTATATATATACTAACCCGTAAACTAGTGAGTGTATCCTGAGCTAGTTTATTCTGCTCCTGGTAGTGATGAGTAACCCAAGATGAAACTACTGCTTGAGGTATTGCCTGGATACACAAACCAATATTAAATCTGAACTATGTTTACCCAAAAATAATATCGTAGATAAACTAATAATAGTCTAGTTATTTTTCATAAGGCCAAAAATATGAAAAATTAAGACTTTAATAAGTTGTGTATAATCATAACAAGGAACCCATATCAAGATATAATCATATTAATAAAAAATATTAATAGGGAGTTACTTGTTAGGATTCTCTTAAGAAAGTGATTTACTTTTCTCTGAGATAAATCAGTTTTTATTAAAAAAAGTGAAGAAAAAAATAAATTAAGTCTAATTAACATATTGGTTTCCTGCTCTATATATATCAACCGTGTAATCAACTGTTTGGCCAAGGCTGGGAGCTCTCTAAATAAATTAATATAAAATTATAACGAGCAAAACAAGCAAAGATCTTAAAACTTAGAATTATTCACCAATCTAAAACTTAAATTAAGGAAATCAAAGAGATAAAAATCAGTCGGTAATTAACAAATACAAAAGTTTATAAAACAACAATTCAATTTCAATTTCGTCAAAACATGTAGAAAAGATATCAAACGATGCGTTTCAACCACTAAAACCAGCCCTTTTTGTAGATATTACAAAAATGGTTCATTTAAATAATTTTTAACCGACTTCTTAAAACTAATACCTATAATAATATATTTAGAAGAATTTATTTGTTGCTGGCGTCTATTTGTGAATTTATCTTAACAAAAAAAGAAATATCTGAACGAGTATGATATTAAATTTAAAATAGAAAATTATATTTAATCTGAATGACGTGAACCTGAAGACTGCAAGGCATGTTGCTGGATGATTGTAAAGATTGTCAAGAACTTCTTGTGGCAGTGTTTTCAGGTATTCGTGCAGATTTCTACTTTCTACAAAATACTCCAGTTTAGAAAATACATTTATCAAATTAAATACAAATATGGAGCCTGCAGTAGGACCCCCAAACTGCATTTAGGACGCCATAAACCACCGTCCCAACAAGCGACCTAATGTAGGAATTTTTGTGTTGTCAATCTCGGGATCAAACATTGATCTCCAGCTTATGCAGATCTACCAGATCTCGTGGTGGATAAACGTTAATTGAGGAGTTTAGCATTGATCCTCAAAATAAAAAAGCTCACATTGAACTGCAAGATCTACCGTTCGTGATTAACGACACTCGAAAGTTACGACTTGATTTAGATTCGTAGGTCTTTAAAAGGACAGAATGGGCCCCTTGAACGGTCATCCAAATATCTATATATATACCTTGCTTGTCTGTCTGTTTGTATCCAAAAAACACCACGGCTAAATCCGTTCTGGCCCAAATTTTGTGTGGGACCACACGTTACCCCAGGAAAGGTTTATGAATGATAAAAATATCAAAAATTTGTGTTTTAAAGTTTTTTATTTTTGTAAAATTTTGAAAATGCGCGAAAAAATATTATGAAATCCGCAATCTTTTTATTTATACTGTACTAAGAAAACATGCTCACAGATAAAGCCACAATTAAAAGTTGAAATAGAAAATGGGCGCGAAGCGCCATAAAAACCTGATATTTTAAACACGGTCATTAAATTTATCCAAATGATCGAATAAATTCACTACGGCATTATTAAATATATTCTGTACTTACATGATTTGAAATATTTCACGATGAATGTTCTGGGGAAAAAATGGAAATTTCACCCTTTTAAATACCTTTCAACAATAAAATGAATTAATTTTCCCAATTCAACGCCTAAACCCTAAAAGTCTAACAAAGAGCGGAATGATTTTTCAAGGAATATATATGTGTATCTGTGATCTTTTATTTTCTCATTAACTCATTATACATAATTTTCTTTACTTCATACCGATCATTTTTGATTTTTCCATTAATAAATATTTTAGCTACTCTAATATTTTTTTCTTGGTTCATGTAAAAATACGATATAATCTATATCTATATATAAATTTGGCTTGTCTGTCTGTTTGGGTGTCTGTCTGTTTGTTTGTATCCAATAAACGTCAAAACGGCTGAACCGATCGGGTCCAAATTTTTTGTGGGACATCACGTGACCACAGGGAAGGTTTATGAATGATATAAAAAAGGGTTCAAGGTTTTTAATTTTGTAAAAAAATAAAAATTCTTGAAAATCCGCGATTTTTTTTATAACTCCGCAAAATTTTTTTCTTCTGTGTTTTAAAGTGTAAACAAAAAGAACATGTTCACAATTTAAATAGAAGATGGGCGGGAAGCGCCCTAAAAGCCTAGTATCTTAAACTTTCCAAAATGACTTTCACATTATATCATAATTACAAGTTAACGAGGAAAATCTTACCTAGTGATTTATTTCGAGGTTGCGGCATTTCAGGTCTGAAACATATTAAGTTTAATTCAACTCTCAGTCTTTTATAATAATTTAACAAATCAACAAATTCATTTATATACTTGATAAACTAGAAACACATATCTCACACTTATCCTAAAAAAGGCAATTTGTTACGATAACTAACTAAATAATATGAACCCAGCATCACATTTTTTAACATAAAACTGTAATAAAACTGCCCGCGTTAAATTACGCCAATGAATACACAAATCTATAAATAAGGTTAAAAATCATGTTGGGAGAAAATGCTGGGAAAGGATTGTGAAAGAAACGTGTAGCACGAGAATAATACATTATTTACTAGGCTTCGGGCAGGACGCTATAAGTGCAGGTTCACGCTTCTAGTGTTAGCTCCACTTCTTCCTTTTCTCTTTCCTCCGGCAATCCCAGTTTTCTTCTTCACTACTCCTCCAACCATCTTCTTTTTTAGGACTCCGTCTTCTTCAAGGATTCGCTTCTTCTTATTTTTTTTAATTACTCCAGCTTCATTTACAATCGCCGCTTTCTTTACGCCGCCATCTTCCATCTTTTTCTTTTTAATGTTTACGCCTTCGCTGGTTTCTAATTTTTTTTTCTTCAAAACTCCTTCTATTGCTTTAACGTCTGCCTTAGCTGCAGATTTACTCAAACCATCTGCTTTGTTTTTATTTTTAGTGTCTGCTTGAGAACTTTCTTTATCCGTAACAGTTTCAGTTTTAGCAAGTTTTTTCTTCCGTCCAACGGGTTTTTTAATTTCTAAACTTTTGGAACTACCAGCCTCTTCATTGGTTTGCGAGGATTTAGGATTAGAGAAGGTTTTCATCTTTTGAAGTTGAATAAGACTTTCATCTGAGATGTTAAGTGTGATTTCATCATCTACATGAACTAATGTCATTCCATCTTCAACATCTGTATCGTCATCATCATTATCAGGAACAGGTTTAACAGGAGCAGCCTTCTTTACAACTTTCTTCTTTTTCTTTAATCCCATTGATGGACCTTCTTTGTTTGCTTTGGATCCCTTAATAGGAGATTTTACAACGGAGTTTTTGGCTTTTGGATTCTCCTGCTTTTCTTGGCCTGCAGAATTTTTGCTTTTCACCTTGACTGGTTTAGGTTCTTCCTTAGTCGGAGATGAATCTGATTTAACAGATTGAGCTTGGGAAGGTTTAGAAGCTGATGAGGATGCTTCATTACTTTTACAATCATCCTTAGCAGTCACAGTCTTTTTCTTTTTTGCAACAACTGTAGTCTTAGTAGACTCCGTTTCTTCAGGTTTCTTGGAAGCCGTAGAACTTAAAGACTTCTTCAAAACTTTCTTTTTCAAGGTTTTAACTGGACCCGAGCCGTCAGCAGCTGATAACCGACTTACCTTTCTGCCTTTTCGTCTACTTAGAAGCGGAACAACAGGGAGATTGTCCGGCATTTTTGTTGGTTTAGACTTCTCCTTCTTGCTGGTATCTGATGTGTTGCTAGAGGAGCTCCCGTGTCTAGACCTGACAGATCGTGTAGATGTATCTGATGAGTTTGAAACACTGCTTGAATTACTATCTCTTCTTTTCCGAGGTCGGCCAGATATTTTCAAAGTATCAACTGATATCCGAGACTCAGAGCTTTCCCTCCTCTCTACAGCAGCACCTGATAATAATGGTTTCTTGAACGGAGAACGATCTGACTCTGGGATTGAAACCTCTTCCGAGACAGGTTTTCTCTTAGAAGAGGGATCTTCAGTAGTAACTTTAGGTTTAAGGTTTCCTTTTTTCTTTTTCAGCACTTCTGTCTTGCCTGGGGGGTTTTGGTTTAGGGAACATGGTTTAGAAACTTTCGTTTTTAATTTTCTTTTACTTGAAGGTTCACTAGATGTTGTTTTATTATCTTCAACTGGCATCACAGGTTTCATGTCATCAGATTTTCTTTTCTTAATTGTAATATTGTCCTCGACACTTCGCTTAGATTTTACTGTTTCTTCTAGTTCCATTGTTTCAGCTTTCTTCGGAGATGGTTTCTTGATTCTCACAGACTTCTTTACTGGACTAGAGATTGAGAGATCATCGACAATATCTATCTCATCCCTGAGAATTTGGTCTAAACACGGTTCAGGGTTTCCTTTCTCTCCAGGTTCAGCGTCGACCTTGACTCTCTTACTCTTTTCTGGAGAAATTTGCTTAGTCACACCTTTCCGTCTCCTACCCGGTGCCGGAACATCCTCAACCTGTTCTGGATTGGTTTGGTCAGGATTCAATGTATCAGAATCTAATCCCACCTTATCCTATGGACAAAACATTGACATTAAGAAACCCAAGGAAAAATAATTTACGATTATAAGTTAGCCCCTCCCCCCCAGTTCTTATCATTTTGAAAACATTTAAAAAAAAACGAAGTTTAGACTAAAATCATGATATTTTTCTCCAAAAAATGACCCCCCACCTCATCTTGATCGGCATCGAGTTAACAATCTCACCAATATCGAATTAAATGTAACAATTTCATGATCAATACTCTACCCCCCCCCACATCAAATTTTTAACATTTAAAGAATAGACAAAACTTCAGTTACTTGAGATTTGTTAAAAGAAAAAAAGAAAAAACAATGTTAGTTTGTCCCTGAATATGAGTAGTTACATCATCATCAGCTACGAAATCCACACTACTCGGTTTCCTAGCTCTCACACCAGGAACCTTGCTCGGAGAGTTCTCCATCTTCCTCTTCTTCTTGGGAGATTCGTCCTCGGACGGATCCGTAGACTTTCTTTTAATCCTTTTATCAGGAGAAGTTTCCGATTTACTATCCGTGGATTGTTTAGACGAAGATTCATTCTGGGTTCTCGAAGGTGAAACTGGATTATAATCCCGAGGTTCAGGAGACTTCTCTTGGTTCGTATCTAGCTTACTCCGATTGTTCTTCTCCAAATTCCCTGTTTGTTTCAGAGACTGCTCTTGAACTAATCTAACTTTAGATTCTTCGACCCAGAGCTTTGTTGACTCCTTCACAGAAACCATTTTAAGATCTTCTATTGAAACTTTTCTTTCAATCTCAATATTATCCAATTCCTTATCTTCTCCTTGGTTTTTAATTTTCCCTAAAGTTTGTTCGACTTCTATTACATTAACTGTTACATCTTCTTTCACTGTGTCATCTTCTTTTTCTTCCCGTTTTTCTGCTCTATTCTCTTCTGGTGTCAGTTCGTCAACCTTTGTTTCTTGTTCAGGAACCTTATCTTGTTCAACAACCGTAACTTGTTTTTGATCTGGAACCTTTCCTTGTTCTTGTTCAATAACAGTATCTTGTTCTTGTTTAGGAACCTTCTTATGTTGTGTTTCAACAAGCTTTTCATGTTGTTGTTCAACAACCTTTTCCTCTTCTTGTTCACGAACCCTATCTTGGTCAACTTCAGTAACCTCAACCTGTTCTTGTTCAGGAACCTTGTCTTGTTCTTGTTCAACAACCTTCTCTTGTTTTTCTTCAAAAACCTTCTTTTGTTCTTGTTCAACAACCTTTTCTTGTTTATGTTTATAAACCTTCTTTTGTTCAGCAACCTTTTCATGCTCTTGTTCAGCAACCTTTTCATGCTCTTGTTCAGCAACCTTTTCTTGTTCTTGTTCAGGAACCTTCTGATTTTCTCGATCAACAAATTTCTCTTGTTCTTGTTCGAAAACCTTCTTTTGTTCTTGCTCAACAATCTTCTCTTGTTCTTGCTCAACAATCTTCTCTTGTTGTTGTTCAACAATCTTATCTTGTTCTTGTTCAACAATTTTATCTTGTTCTTGCTCAGCAACCTTCTCTTGTTCTTGCTTAGCAACCTTCTCTTGTTCTTGTTCAACAACCTCCTCTTGTTCTTGCTCAGCAACCTTCTCTTGTTCTTGTTTAACAACCTTCCTTTGTTCTTGCTCATCTTGTTCAACAACCTCCTCTTGTTCTTGCTCAGCAACCTTCTCTTGTTCTTGTTTAACAACCTTCCTTTGTTCTTGCTCAGCAACCTTCTCTTGATTTTGTTCAGCAACCTTCTCTTGTTCTTGCTCAGCAACTTTCTCTTGTTCTTGTTCAACAACCTTTATTTGTTCTGGTTCAGGTTCAACAACCTTCACTTCATCTTTACTAGGAAGATTTTCTTTTTCATGTTTAAGAACATTTTCCTGTTCACTGTAAGAAGTGTTATATTCTTCTTGATGATGAACATTAACCTGTTCTTTTTCCAAAACCTTTGTCTGTTCTTGGTCTACAACCCTCTTAGGTTCGTTTTCACCCACCTTCTCATCCACATTCTCTTCCTTTTCAAGTTCTGGATTATGATTGTCAACATATGTTTGCGCACAGATTTTATTCAAATCACGATCTTTGACCTTGATTGCAGTTTGGTATAGAAATGTTTTACTTTGCTTTTTCACAGAATCATTTTCTACAGTTTTCTTTTCTGTTGTTCTTTCTAAGTTCTGATCGACATTAGTGAATAATTCTTTGCTCAAATTCTCTGTCAAATCTTCAATATTCTCCAAGTTTTGGCCTCTATCTTTCTCTTCTTCTAAAGATTGAAGTATACCTTGCTTCTCAGGACTAATGTCTTGTTCATCTTGTGCATTATGCAAAACAGATTTGTCCTGCTCATTTTCTTCTTCAAGAATAAAATCAGATTTGTCCTGCTCATTTTCTTCTTCTAGAATCAAAACAGATTTTTCCTGTTCTTTTTCTCCTTTAAGAATCAAAACAGATTGGTCTTGCTCTTTTTCTTCTTCTTCAAGAATCAAAACAGATTTGTCCTGCTCTTTTTCTTTTTCTTCAAGAAGCAAAACAGATTTGTCCTGCTCTTTTTCTTCTTCAAGAAGCAGAACAGATTTTTCCTGCTCTTTTTCTTCTTCAAGAAGTAAAACAGATTTGTCTTGCTCTTTTTCTACTTCAAGAAGCAAAACAGATTTTTCCTGCTCTTTTTCTTCTTCAAGAAGCAAAACTGATTTGCTCCGCTCCTTTTCTTTTTCTTCTTCAAGAATCAATGAAGAAGAAAAAGAATCTAAGGATTCACTTAACTCAGTTTTAGAACAAACTTTAACCATAGGATTTTTTAGGTTTCTACTTTTTGTTTCCTTTTCGCTCTCGTGTATGTTGGAATCGTCGGTTTCTTTCTTGTCCCCTACATTTAGTAGGGTTGACCCAGAAACCAATTCTTCACTCACCAAACTTGGAGCTGGGGTCAAGGACGGGTTATCACTAATTGTTTTTATTTCATCTAAACTAGCTGCAGAAATCTGACTAGAAACATTTACTTCGTTTCCCTCCTCCTCGAAATCAATCTCAAAAATAGATCTTTGTTGGCTGCAGGTTGGTTCATGCTGTGCATATTTAGATACAAATTGTTCAGGTACAAGATTAGAAGCATTTACTGGACTAGAAACTAATAAAGCAGGTACAGACGCTTTATTCTTCAACACGGTCCTTTCTAAAGAACTACTCTGAGATACTCCTGAGATGGAATCTACTGGAAGAGAGGGTGTATCAGATTCAGTAACAGGATCAGGTGGGGATAATTCACTCAAAAGATTTTCTATCGAATTTTTCCTTTTTTGTGTTTCAGACACTTCTTTAAATGCTGTTGAAAGGGAAGGGTGAGTACTGTTTGTAGAATGTATTAAGGAAGGTTTCATAATGTCGGCTTCATGAGCTGGAGGAAGTATTGCTAAAGTTGATGATGGAGAAGTTGTATAAGAAGGGTCACTTGTAGAAGATTCAAGAAACTCAGTTGCGGCATGGATTTCAGACGTTGTAAATAGTGGAGAAGATTCTTTAGTTACTGGCGGGGTTTGTTTGTGTAAATCTTCAGTAGTGACTGGTGGAGATGAAATGGGTTCTGCACTAGCTGATAGCAAAGAAGGTTTAGAAACGACTGGTTCAAGAGCTTGAGAAGAAGAACCAGGAACGAGTTCTAAAGAAGAAGTTAACAGAGCAGGTGTGGTTAACTCTACTGAAGAAAATGCAGACAAAGAAGGTTCGTCATTAACTGATGGAAGAAGAGAATCATCTGCTGTTGAAACCGCTGGAAGGTCTGAAGTTACAGCAACTGGTAGCAAGTGTTGAGACGGGGTTGATGCAGATTCACAAACTTTAGTAATAATCTCGGATGGTCTTGGAGGATCTGCTGAACCAGGTAGAAAAGTAGAAATTTGATCATTCAGGACTGCTGAAACTCGTAATTTAGCAGAGATTTTCTCTGCCGAACCAGATAAAATAGGAGGGATTTGCTCTTTTGGAACTGCTGATAGAGGAAAATCAGCAGAGATGTGCTCTGTTGGGACTGCTGAAACAGATGTAACATCAGAGATTTGCTCTAACGGAACTGCTGAAACAGGAAGACGTTGCTCTGTGGGGACTGCTGAAGCAGGGACGTTAGCAGAGGAGGGTTGAGAGGGGACTGCTGAAACAGGGATGTCAGCAGAGAAGGATTGGGAGGGAACTGCTGAAACAGTGATATCACCAGAGGAGGGTTGGAAGGGGACTGCTGAAACATGTACTTCAGCAGAGGAGGGTTGGAAGGGGACTGCTGAAACAGGGACTTCAGCAGAGGAGGGTTGGAAGGGGACTGCTGAAACAGAGACTTCAGTAGAGGAGGGTTGGGAGGGTACTACTGAAATAGGGATATCCGCAGAGGAGGATTGGGAGGGGACTGCTGAAACAGGGACTTCAGCAGAGGAATGTTGGGAGGGGACTGCTGAAACAGGGACTTCAGCAGAGGAGGATTGGTAGGAGACTGCTGAAACATGGACTTCAGCAGAGCAGGGGTGGTATGGGACTGCTGAAACAGGGACTTCAGCAGAGGAGGGTTGGGAGGCGACTGCTGAAACAGAGACTTGGGAGGGGACTGCTGAAACAGGGACTTGGGAGGGGACTTCTGAAACAGGGACTTCAGCAGACGAGAATACTGATGAAACAGGGACTTCAGCAAAGGAGGGTTGGGAGGGTACTGTTGAAACCGGGACCTCAGCAGAGGAGGGTTGGGAGGGGACTGCTGAAACAGGGACTTCAGCAGAGGAGAATACTGATGAAACAGGGACTTCAGCAAAGGAGGGTTGGGAGGGTACTGTTGAAACCGGGACCTCAGCAGAGGAGGGTTGGGAGGGGACTGCTGAAACAGGGACTTCAGCAGAGGAGGGTTGAGAGGGGACTGTAGAAACAGGCAGATCTGCAGAAATGGACTGATTTGGGATTACTGGAGCAGTCAGATCTGAGGATATGGACTGGGACAGTTCTTCTAGGATTGGTATTAGTGGAGCAGGTTGGTGATTTGAGGTTGGCTGAATTACTGGACCATCTAGGTTTACTGATGGATCAGGATCTAACCTTTCCAGGAATACGGATGGTACATGAGCAGAAGGCTGTGGGTCGGTGTTAGATAAGGGAGAATCCAATGATTGTGAAACATGTCCTAAAAATAAAAACATTTAATGAAGAATATTTTGGACCTTTAAATTTCCAATCCATTTATAAAAAAGCACAAGTAATTTAATTTCTGCTTTTAAATATTTACATAACTTGAAAATTTATTTGCAACAATTAATCGCTTGAATTTGTTTTTCATACATTAAAGGCCAAACAGTAAAAGTCTTATTAAGAGTCAAAATATAACATGTCCAATGTACATTCCACCCAATTAGTACAACATATTATTTGAACCCTGCGGTCTTAAGGGTCTTATCAATATTGTGCTGTATAGCAAATTTTTTCTAATTTGAAGTTTAGTTCACTATCATGAATAAACCACCATTAAAACAAAATAAAACCCCTAAATCTAGATCAAACAAAGCTCTAAAGGTAACGTTGTCAATCGGAAATGCCACTCTGTAAATCAAGGGCCACCTGAAATAACGTCCACAGTCCCTTTAACTAATTTTTCAAAATTGTATTACCTTTATCTTGATTTGGACAGAAGATTTCCTCAAATGAGTTCCCCTGTTCCTCCAGGTCATACTGGAAGAATGGAGACCCCTGCTGGTCAAAATCTGATTCCCTGGATCCAAGTAGAGAAGTCTGAAGTTCAGCAATAGATGCAATTGCTTGATCTAACTCCACGAATCCAACTCCTCCCTGGATACTCGCAACCTTCTCCTGCAGGTTGGTGCTGTGGTTAACCATCGAAAGGTTCCGGTTTGAGATGGATGCAATGGCCTGATCCAGCTGAGAAACTGGATTTTCAGGTTCATCAACAACAGGTTCTAATGGAGCTACTGGTGCAGGGAGCTCAGGACGCGGAACAGGAATGGCAGGTTTATTCCTGCATTCAATGGTTGGACAACAGAAACATGAAAATGGAATTTTCTCTTGAACCGGATTGTTTGGTCTTGATTCCGTCCTTGTCTCTATTATAATATCATCATCTTCCCCTGCAAGTTTACTACAGATTTCTACAATATCGTCCGTGTCATCGTCAGGAAGATCAGAAACATCGATTATGTCATCGTTGATATGATTAGATTGCCTGCCGACCTCAATAATGTCGTCAAGGTCCTCTGTAACGGGGTTGAGAACTACTAACTTGTTTTCCGACCCTTTCTTATCAGACAAAGAGTCAATTGTATCCATTAGGTTTCTGCGCCCTAGACTCAACTTATTTAAAAGAATTGAGCTCTCAGGGTTCGGAGTTGGTTTCTCTTCCTTGACAGCAAATAGATCGGTTCTTAGAGATATTTTGGGCTTAGTACCAGAACTAGGACAAGATACAAGAGAAATTAATGGACTTTGAGGTTTAACTTCTATTTTCTCATCTTTTATATTTACATCTTTATTCTCTCTAGTTGGTGTTTTCTTTATTGTAGCAGGAGATTTAACATTGCTTTCTTGAATAATCTTAATTTCATCTTTACAAGGTTCGGGTTTATCAAGCTTACTCTGAACCTCCTCAAAACTAACCCAACCTTCCGGAACATATCTTGTTTTAGGAGTATATTCAACTCCTTCGAATTTACTTGACTTTTCCTGGTTTCTCTTTAAGGAAATCTTTATCCGGCATGGCTTCTCCGTCTTGCAGTTTCGTGCCAGGGTTTTAATCTTCAGTTTCGGAGTTCTGTTTCGTCCGCTGTTGGAGATTTTAAGGACTAACTTTCCGACTGGACTTGGATCTGCGACCCAACCTCCATCCGAACTTCTCATTATTTTCATTGTCAGTGGGGATGCAAACTTATTCTCTTCCTTAGCCTTGACTTTACTAACTGGAGTACACATATCTTTGGCCAGGGTTTTAAGTCTCTGTTTTATACTGGAGAAGCTTCGTGACAAAGATTTATAATCGTCAAACTTCTCCTGGTTCTCCTCTTCAGAGAAATGGTCACATTGTGAGGGTTCTTTTACTACTTCCCGGGGGGCTGGAGTTTTCTTTTTTCTTCCGCGCTTCCCACCTCCTTTAGCAAGTTTCAAGGGGATCATATTCAAAGATTCATTCTTGGATTTAGACAAGGATTGATCTTGAGGCATCAAATCCTTGATATTTGGTGCTAGCGATGCTATCTTTAAAGCGGGCAGTAGTGGTGTTGAAGCAGAACTAAGAGCTGGAGATGATGTTAATGATGGTGATACAGATGAAAGTTGTAAACTGGGATGCGTCGGCAAACTTTTAACTAACTGATCAGGTACTTGGTTTATATACAATTGACTGGGCTTGGAGTCAGGGTTCACAGACGTTAGTGGCTCAAGGTTCCCACTAGATCCTAATTTCTCCGGGTCTGTCGGATTAACGTCCGGTACAGGCGGATTCAAATTTTGAACAGGAGGAGTAGGTTCAGGAGTGCTTGCTGTTGCAGGTATCACTGCAGGAGAGACGGGTGTAGTTAAATTAAAGTCTGGGACAGGAACTCTAAGGTTTGGATCGGGCAAACCATGGGAAGGATTGATTGCAGGGTTCACGCTTTTAAACGGAGTCGAAATTAAGGAAAGGTTGGAGAAAGGAGAATTAAACGCTGGGTTGGATGGAAAACTTGGTCCGGTGGGAAGAAAATGCGAAGGAGTAGAAGGATAAACTCCTAGTGCTGGAGGGGTAGAATTAAATGAACCGGATAATCCTAAAGGATTGATTCCAATACCAAAGGACGAAGGGTTTAATGCCAGACCAGTTTCCGGTTCTGTAGTTTCCGGAGAGAGAACCGATAAAATTCTATCCAGCGCGGTATGATCGAAATCTGGCGAGTTAGGCTCCGAATCGAAGTTTAGACCACCTAGATTAATTAATTTAATTGTCATGACCAACGAGTTTCACACAGTGTTTGTCAAAAACATTTAGCAAAAAAGAAACATTTTTTTATAAAATAAAAGTTCAAAAATCCTATGTTTTTAGTTCTTACAGTCTATAACAAAGGAAGTTAATATGAAAAGAAAGTTTAAAAATATATCATGACATTTAAATAAAAATTCCTTGGACTGAAAAATCGTCTTCATCAGGAGAGAACATCGGTTGTTCAGCTACAACTACGCTGGTATTAACGGTCAAAGGTTCTATGGAAGAGACTATTGAAGTTGAAGGTGTCACCACACTTGGAGCAGGTTCATCCCGAACCTCAGGTTTCTTTGAACTTTTAAATACATTTTCTTTTTGTTGCTGAGATGAGGAAATCGAAGGAGAAAGTTTCTGTTTTGCAGGTTCTGAGAGAAGTGAGTCAAAAAGTAAATTCTTAGTTGCAGCATACGAATTTATGGTTTCTTCAAGCTCAAGATTTTTAACCTTGGGCTTAATAGGACTACTCTCTTGATCACTGGGTAGTTTAAGATTATCAGAGCTTGTATCCTGTTCTCCATCCTTCTCAGCGATATCTTCAAGGTTAGGTTCAAGATTTGTGAGAGCCGGAAAAGGGCTGATGGGTTTTTCAGAAACTGTAGGTTCAGGAGTTTTAGGACAGATTTGAGGAGTTACAGCGGCCTTCTCAATTACAGGACTGATTCTCTCCGGAGTTGGTTCATGCACAGAGAGTTCTAGTATTGGCAGAGAGGGTTTAGTAGACTCTAGCAGTTGGATGGTTGGCTTATTTAACAGAATCTCATCTTCATTTGTTGAAGTATTTAGTTGGGAAGATGCGATTATGGGATCATTTAATGGGTTCACAGGCTCTGTATTCGAAGGGATCGGGGCATCAGACGAACCACTTGGTTCTGATTCTGCAGGAATATTGGACTCACCACAGATATCTTCAGAACCCTTGGTTTCAACACCTGTTTTATCCTCGGAAGGTTGAGGTTGAACACCAACTCCATTTTCTGAATCTTGAAATCTAGGTTTGGATTTAATTGCCACAATAGGCGTGGTCATTACAGGTTTATCTGGGTCCATATTTTTTGTTTCTTTCTCATCCGTTTCCATTTCTTCAGACTTAGTTTCTTCTTCAGGTTTCGGTTCTTCCTTGCTTTCTAATTTCTCTTCAACTGCTGTTTTTCTAGGACGCAGTCGTCGTAGAACTTTCGGTGTAATTTTAGTTTTAAGTTGTTTAGATTTAGCGACAGCTTTCTTTATTAATTTCTTAGATTTCTCCATGGTAGGAGAAGGTCTGTGTAATCTAGCACTAGCTCTAGTAGATATGGAAACTTTTGATATTGAACTAGCAATCTTCTCTACACCGGTATCTTCAGCCTTCTCTTCGTCCTCGCCCTTCTCTATACCGGTATCTTCAGCCTTCTCTTCGTCCTTGCCCTTCTCTTCAGCTTTCTCAATCTTTGCTTCTTCTGTAACTTTCTTCTTAACGTTGGTTTTAACAAATATTTTCTTTTTTGTTTTCACTTTGGGTTTTGTTACAGGTTTTTCCGTTCCGGTTTTCGTTTTCTCAAGGTTGCGTTTCAATCTCTGGAGATAAAGCATAGCTTTTTTACGCAGTTCTTTCTCCTCCTAAATATTGACAAATTAGTTAAAACAAACATGTATATACAGGGTGTCCCACGAAACATGACAGTATGCAGGACGACTTGAATGTCGTCTTGATTTTTGATATAATTTGCTGCGTTTATTTGTCAACCTAATTTTAGAAGTAAATTTCTAGAGATAATAATCACAAAATTTCCCTTGTCCTGCCATTTCCAAAATGTGGTCTGCCTTTTTTGTGCTTTCAATATTGCCCGAGATATGAAGAATTTCGTTCAGATTTCGACAATTTTGCTTTTATTTAACAAAATTGAAATCTGAACCAAACTCTTTATATCTCAGGTAATATTGAAAGCACAAAAAACGCAGACCACTTTTTGGAAATGCCAGGGCTAGGAGAATTATGTGATAATTATTTCAAGAATCATACATGTTAAAGTAGACAGAAGACTAAATGTCACAAATAAATTCAAATACCAAAGACGACTTTCAAGTCGTCTTCCTATTGTCATGTTTCGTGGGACACCCTGTAGTATGATGTATGTCACATTTGACTTATCGTAAAAAATTTTACTTCGTTTTTTAAAATAGCCTTAAACATGACATAAAGGGACTGTAAGCGTAATTTCAAATGGCCCTACATGCAAAGATGACCGTGCTCGATTCACAATGGCACCCTTGAACCCTTCAGGTATAAATTAGATATCAATGTTTTTAATCTTAAAAACTGATTATTTTCCACTGTGGGTTCTACTGCAGGAAACATATAATAATTAAACACTTATAAACCTAAAACGACAGAATATGCCACATTTTTTAACTAATAAAGGGTTGAAGGATCAGACAGTGTCAAATTAGTATTGATGGTCCCTTAAAACTACGCTTACAGTCCCTTTAAATGAAACAGGGACTTACTTGAGTAAAGTCGACGGCGGTTTCGGAAGATTCAGAATTTTCAGGAGACTGAACATTTTTCGACAATCTTTCTGCTCGTTTTAAAATCACCTGTAATAGAATAAAATTTAAGATTATTTTATTAAAAATAAAAAAATTCATGGGTTCTAAAAAAAGTTGTTGCTTTTTTTAAGAATTCTTACCTCTTCCATAGCTGGAGTATTCTCTGCAGTGGTGAGTTCCTGTGAGAGAAACCTTGCCTGCAGTTCAGCTTTCCTTTGCTTGTTAAACTCAACCAACTGATCCTTCAAGGACATTTCTCTCTTCTTATCCTGTAAATCCTTCAGCGCTGCCATAATCCTACACATCTCCGGAGTTGGGTTCTTCAGGATTTCTAATTGTCTCCGACGGATCTCTTCCTCCCTCACCTTCTGTTCCTCCTCGTCCTTCTCATCTCTGTTGTTCCGAGCAACCGTCTCCGGGTTCTGTTTGAGAACTTCCTCCCAGTTCCAGGAACCGTGAGTTCCTTCTTCAATCTTACTCCGGGTTCTTCGAGTAGAAGTAGAATCATCTCCACCTATATTATATATATCAAGTATTGAGTTAAACTGCAATATTGATAAACTAAGCTTTAATTGCGAAGGCTTAGTCAAGTTTAAGTTCAGATTCAATCTCATTTTAGATGTCTGGTTCAATAAAATTGCTTAATGTGATAATTTTCGTCCACATCTCTATCCATCATACTATACAATTCATTTTATCACTGAAAAACTGGCACACATTGCTTGTTGTGTTTGTCAGGGGTGTATATTTTCCTGAAAAATCATTCACCCCCCCTCCTCTTTTAAAAATAATTTTTTCTCCCAGAAGTTATATCTATAACATTTTTTAGGGTTTAATTCACTGATTTGAAGAAAATAAATAATTTTAAAGTGAAAAGTGGGATTTTTTTTTTGAAAAACTTGCATTTGTGTTTAATTTTTCTCCCCCCCCCCACAACCTTCCTAATTCTCAAAAGTAAACACCCCGCCCCAGTGTTTTGTGCCTTTTTCATTTAAAATAATGATTTAAATGAATATTTACCTCTACTAGATTCATCAATGTTAAAATCTTCAATTCCTCTACTCAGCTCCTCATCAAACCCACTCATTGCATTATCATCCTGGAGCAGTTTCTTCGCTCTCTTTCCTATTTTACGCTTAGGCGGAGCAGGTTTAGAGAAAATGAGCTTTCCTTCCGCACCCCGGCTCTGGGTTTTAATAGCAGCATTAAACATCTCCCTAATTTTAGCATAGTCTGGATCAGTGTCGAAATCCATATCGGAGACGTAATCCAAGAACTCTTCGAGAACTTTAGGATACTCCTCCGGTTGGAAACACTTGGCCAAGAATCCAACCCTGTTGGACATGTAGAACTTTTTCTGGTTCTCAACATTCTCCGGAGTATCAGGATCCATATCCTGGATCCAGGGTAGGGTTCCGGAGCACCAGTGAACCAGGTTGTATCCAAGGGTTTCAAAATCTCCTCTACGGGAGTGCGCCCCGATGTGAGCGTCCCTACTGGTGTACTCCAGGGTTCCGTCGTGTGCCCTCCTCTCATCTGCCTCACAGGGTTTATGAAACCCGTATCCATTCCTTTAAACAACAAAACTATCTCATCAACAACAATTTTAACATAATGTTTTAATTTTGGTTATGATCATAATGTTAAGTCTCAAAATATTATGATTGAAATTTCAATTTATGATTTCACAATTATTACCGTTTACAGAAAAAAAATCATGTTTTAAAGAAACTAAAAATTGTATAATGACAAATTAGAAATAAAAGAGAAAAAGTAATCAATTGATAAACCAAAATATTGAATTATAAAGATATGAAAATTAAAAAACAGACATCAACATAATAAAATATTAACAAATAATTAACTTAATTTCTAAATTTGAATATCCTAGCGATAAAATCTTTTTTTAGTTAACCGAAATTAATACCTGTATTTACAAGCAAGACCAAAATCCACGAGAAATATATTATCAGCATTCTCAGGCAGTGCTCCAACTAGAAGATTCTGCGCCTTGATATCATTGTGTACATAACTCTTGGAGTGTAGAAACTCCAGTGAATCGAGGACCTCCAGCCCTACCCGGAGAACTGTAACCAGGGGGAACGGTTTCTCTCCGCTCTTGAAATGTTTCTCCAGGTCGGAACCAAGTTTATCAATCACGATGAACCGAAGTTTCTTGTCTTCGTACATAAAAGAACCGAATCCGTGACAGCACGGCATCCCGACATATCCTTCCGTATCCTCCTTCAAGGTTTTCCATCCGATCCTTTGGAAAATTAAAAAGATTTTATTAAAATTGTTAAAATATAGGGTTTTGAAATGAATTAAAAATGCAATATTTTTTACTGGAATATTAGGATTTTTTTAAAATTACAAAGTTTTAAAAAAATTACCTCTGAGAAGGCATTCCAACCCTAGCGAAAAAATGCATCTCTGTGAAAAGTGGTCCATTGGCGTGGGGTTCAAGTTTAACAACAAAATTTGCTTTCTCCTTCTTAAATACATCTCCGTCACACGCCAGATATACATCACCGAAAGCTCCAGATCCAATCGGTTTCCCGAGGATCCATTTTTTATTCCGAACATCGGTGATTACGACACCTAAATCATTCAAACCTATTGGATTTTAATTAAATTTTAAGAAAAATTAATAAAAAAAAGAATTTTGCAAAAAAAATTTTTTTTATAGGTTTGAAGATTCCCTTCTTCAATTTTAGGCGCAAGATCGCAGCCAAACCCGGCTTTCCTCTCATCATCCTCATTATCCTTCTTCCCCATTACGGGTTTAAGGTTGGCAACTTTTCATTTTTAATCATAGTTCTGAAAATCTTAATTTGTTACAAAAATTCTTTAAAATACATTAAACATTGTTAACAGAAAATTTTTTGACTTGGTTTCAGGTATCTCGGTGTCCATTGGTTTTGTTAAGTCTATTCTTCAGAATCTTCTTTAATCGAGTATTTCATGAGAGAATAAGATGCAGAGGAAATCATTATGTTTCTGTCAACTGTATTCTTCCTTCCCTAAATAAATAATAGATTAAGACAAAATATTTTGTTCATTTTCATGTTCATGTATGACTAAACTCAGAGGAATGAACAGAAAAAATAGTTTTTATTTAATTGTAAACTGTAATTCAGTATGTTTGAAAAAAAAGAGTAAAAGGTTTAAATACCCCTCCTTAAACAAGCCGCGCTCCCCCCTCCCCCTCCCCCCGATTTACGTAAAAGTTCGTTAATTAGATCGACCCCTACCCCCACTTTGTACACATATATCTAAACAGTTTGTTTTTAATCTTTGTGACAGAAACAATCTCAAGGAATAATAATGCCTTAAAACATTTTTTTTAAAGTGAATATTTGCAAATTATCTTTTATCCATCTCATAATCTGAGTTCTTTTCCCTTATGTTCATTTGACAGCCCAATTTTCTTTCTTTTTCTGTTTTATATGTTTCTATGCATATCAACCTTGTTGTGAATAAAATCTCCTTGAAGTAGAAACATATAAAACAGAATAGAAAATTGGGGGGGGGTGAGCCATTATTTTTGACCCTATTCATTTGACAACACCCAGATTCTTCTTTTTTTGATGCTTCTGTATTCCCTGGGTTCCTAGCTTTTGATTTACATACATACATGTACAAACATTTTCATTTTGGAGGTCATTTTAGGACATTAGATGATCAAACACTGGATTCATTGCTGCTACTATATTTCCTGGGTTCCTAGTCCCCTACATCAAATGTGTCAACTCCACCATCCCCTTTGAAAAACAGGACAATTTTGGTCTTTGGTCGATTTTTTCCCATCATTTTTTTTTCTTTCGACATTTTTTAAAATTTGGCTTTAAGGGTAATTCAAATTGCACCCCGCGACCTGCTGGCTTACCGACGCTCTAGCACCCTCGTAAGTGAAGCGATCCGGCTGGCAAGCACATTTTTGAAACTATTTTCTTTTTCTGTAATCTTTTTTTTGACTCTTTGTGTACCAAAAATAGAAACTAAAACAGATTTGAACCAATTTCGGTCCAATATTTTTTTGAGACCTTAAACGAACCAAAGCTTAAAAAAAGTTGATCATATTTCTTCTTTAATTTTAGGATTTATATCTTAAAGCAGGGATATTTGTCTAGTTTATTAAATTTTGATAAAATTAATAAGAAACCTGAAAGGCAAGTTGATTACTCTTGGTTGCCACCTTCTTGAGAAACAGGCTCTGTAGGAATTCCATTGCTACAACCTCATCTACTCCAGCCAGAAGCAGGATTTCCTCCTCATCCTCGGATTGCTAAAAAATATTATTTAAAAATGCTGCTTCGTGGACAAAAAGTTAGAAAATTATCGTAGTTATAATCTTAAAAATAAATTCTGCAGTTTAATAGTTTAAATTTTAATAATAATTGTTGTATCCTGCAATTCAAGTTTATAAGATGATCATTTTCGAGATTATTTTTGTTCAGAAAGGAAAAAATGCAACTTCGGAATTTTGAATTCAATTTGATGTGACTTTCAAAAAAAAGTCGGGATTTAGATCAATAAGAAAAACTTACCTTCCTGATGTTTTTCTTAACACTTGTTACGGAAGTTCTGCTTGGTTTGGCCAACACCATTTTCAGTCTCTGTAATATAAAATACAATACGATACATTAATTATTTGTACACGAAGATTGCGCTGACCCAAAGCTTCATTTTCTCCTCTTCTCGGAGATTTTGTTGTCGTCCGACCAGGTCTCTTCGTCAATTCGTCCATGCGAGTAGTAGTAGGTTGCTGGACCGTGGAGTTTATCGTCCTTCCAAACTCCGACCCTTTTATCTCCGTTGGAGAAATAGAGAATACCATTTCCGTTCTTAAGTCCGGCGGTGAAATCTCCGAGATATCTGTCTCCGTTTAACCAAATATACTCCCCTCGCCCTTCACGCTTCCCTGATTCTCCAGTTTCTCCAGTATACTTTGCTCCATCGTCAGATACGAGGGTCATACGTTTAGCCCCTAAAAATTAAAATATCAGAAAAACTAAAAACCGTTTTTTTGGTTTGTAAAATCCTCAACAAAATTAAAAAACAAATGAAACTGAACAAAACAATAACAATGCAATAGAAAAAAACAATAACGTTCACTTGACAATAAAATTCGCAATGATAATAATAAAGATCACAATCAGCATTGAATAAAATTACAAAACAATTAAAATTTCTTTTTACTCACCATCCTTCTCAGTCTTGTCTTTCTCCGCTTGAGGAGTCTGTGAACCATCGTTACTATCGCTGGCACCGCTATTTACAGACATATTGCTGTCCTCGTCCATACCAAGGCTGGCCCGGCTATCCTCGTCGAACAGCCTCCGTCTGTTGAGATCCCTGGTGTTCTTGACAAGGTGGCAGACAGGAACCCACTTGTACATCTTCATTGTTGTGTCACTGATGGTTACCCATTGCTTATCCCAATGACGAACCTAAAAACAAACAAAAACATTTTTTGAAAGCCCATTTTTTTAACATTTATTAATTTATATTTTTAGCTCTTTCTTTGTTTACAACAAACGTCGAAAATTAGACAAATTAAGATATTAAATTTTATAACTTTCTCTTCTATAGTACAACGAAAAAATAAAATGCTTAATACTGTGGAGAAATTTCTTTAATATTTCCGAAAGAATACCTTCTCCACGTTGTGCATGACACGTTTAATGTCCTCCTTCCTGCTCTGCCTGGTCTCAGCCCTCCCGGACCTCGATGACATCATCTTGGCAGACTCAATAATCAGACTGGAGGACTTGAAATTAGATTCAATAATCAGACTGGAGGATCTGAAATTAGACTTAATAATCAGACTGGAGGATCTGAAATTAGTCTCAATAATCAGACTGGAGAATCTGAAATTAAACTTAATAATCAGACTGGAGAATCTGAAATTAGACTCAATAATCAGACTGGAGGATTTGAAATTAGATTCAATAATCAGACTGGAGAATCTGAAATTAGACTTAATAATCAGACTGGAGGATTTGAAGTTAGATTCAATAATCAGACTGGAGAATTTGAAGTTAGATTCAATAATCAGACTGGAGGATCTGAAATTAGACTTAATTATCAGACTAGAGGATCTGAAATTGGTCTCAATAATCAGACTAGAGAATCTGAAATTAGACTCAATAATCAGACTGGAGGATTTGAAGTAAGATTCAATAATCAGACTGGAGGATCTGAAATTAGACTTAATTATCAGACTGGAGGATCTGAAATTAGACTCAATAATCAGACAGGAGAATCTGAAATTAGACTTAATAATCAGACTAGATGATCTGAAATTAAACTCAATAATCAGACTGGAGGATCTGAAATTAGTCTCAATAATAAGACTGGAGGATCTGAAATTAGACTAAATAATCAGACTGGAGGATTTGAAATTAGTCTCAATAATCAGACTGGAGGATCTGAAAAAGACTCAATATTAAGACTGGAGGATCTGAAATTAGTCTCAATAATATGACTGGAGGATCTGAAATTAGTCTCAATAATCAGACTGGAGGATCTGAAAATAGACTTAATAATCAGACTAGTTGATCTGAAATTGAACTCAATAATCAGACTGGAGGATCTGAAATTAGTCTCAAAAATCGGACTGGAGAATCTGAAATTAGACTAAATAATCAGACTGGAGGATCTGAAATTAGACTCAAAAATCGGACTGGAGAATCTGAAATAAGACTTAATAATCAGACTGGAGGATCTGAAATTAGACTCAATAATCAGACTGGAGGATCTGAAATTACACTCATCCCTCTTTATCAATGACTACTTAGATTTGATCTACTTCCATTGCAATACACAGATTTAGCGGTTTCTAGTCTATACAGCTTTTGGGCTAGATTTACCAGGCCGGAGGATCTAGAATTACTGTGGATTTGATAAAACGAGAAGCACTCCCACTATCAATGACCGGAAAGATCCAAGTTCCCCTCCGTTAATCCTAATCCTACCCATGATCAGAGGCTCTTACGACCGGAACAAACAATTTCCGACTGTACAAAGGTTGAGTTTAGCCCCCCCCCTTTCCAACGTCCGCCGCCAATTCCTCCAATAAACCACATTGTTTTTTCAAACTTACTACTGCGACTTCGTATAATAACAGCAGGGAAAGTAACACCTTTCCTCTAGAAACTATTGCACTGTATACGTCCGTAAGTACAAGATGTCCCACATAATATTAGATCGTGTTAAAGCTTATAAATGGGATTGCCAGGACTAAACAGAAAATTTAAAAAAATTTTATAGCTATTATAAAGATTTGCATGTAGAAAATACTAGGTTATGTGGGTATTTTGGCGTTAAAGTTTGGAGATAATTTAATATGATACGGGATGCTCTGTTAACTATAGGGGGACGTGACAGACTAAGTCAATTTCAGATCTCTTAAAAATCAGAAAAATGTTCCAAGTATTTAGCATAAAATTAAATAAATTTGTTGCTGATTCACTTTAACTACTAATATATTCGATAAAAACCGGAAAACGAGAAAAATTTAGCGATTTAAATTTGTATGTTGTGACAGGAGAACCGACGCTTAACCCAACTACTGTAAGGGAAATGCCGGGTGCAGTTCTTAACTCTGACCAATCAATCTATCAACAGGGTTCGGTTTCAAGTTTCGGAGTAATTTGAGAAATAGAAATAGAATAAGTTTTGAATCCATTTCATAAGCACACTTTGTTCCGTTTTAGCATGTCTAGAGAGTCTTGATCTTCAACCTTATACATAGTTATTTCATTCCTTCATTAATTCACTTCAATGATAACCCAGCAAGAAAAAATACAAAGAACGGAGGAGAAAAGGTGCACCGTTAATCATGTCGCGGAGTTCGAAAACGGAACTCCGATTCTCAAAAAACGGAGGTTCGGAGGTATCCTGTACGGATGCGATTAAGGTGCACCGAACAGAGTGATTTGCGGTGCACTTAAGGGAAATGCCGGGTGCAGTTCTTAACTCTGACCAATCAATCTATCAACAGGGTTCGGTTTCAAGTTTCGGAGTAATTTGAGAAATAGAAATAAAGTAATTTTGAATCCATTCCATAAGCACACTTTGTTCCGTTTTCGCATGTCTAGAGAGTCTAGATCTAAAACTTTATACATAGTTATTTCATTCCTTCATTAATTCACTTCAATGATAACCCAGAAAGAAAAAATACAAAGAACGGAGGAGAAAAGGTGCACCGTTAATCATGTCGCGGAGTTCGAAAACGGAGGTATCCTGTACGGATGCGATTAAGGTGCACCGAACGGAGTGATTTGCGGTGCACCATTTCTACTTCTCTTTTGGAGCTCCGTTACTATATCTCTCGGAGCTCCGTTACTACTCCTCTTTTGGAGCTCCGTTACTACTCCTCTTATGCACCCCCACCTCCCACTCGGAGCGACCCTACCACGCCCCATGAATGCTTAGGAGGATGGGAATGAAGGAATAGAATAGATGATGAATGGTTAGGAGGATGGGAATTAATGAATGTAATAAAGGATTAGTGGTGAGAAGGATGGGAATCAAGGAATATAATTGAATATGAATGGTTAAGATGATGGGAATCAAGGAATATATTAAAGAATGAATGGTTGGGAGGATGGGAATCAAGGATTATAATAAAGGATGAATGGTTAGAAGGATGGGAATCAAGGAATATAATAGAAAATGAATGGTTAGGAGGATGGGAATCAAGGAATATAATAAAGAATGAATGTTTAGAAGGATGGGAATCAAGGATTATACTAAAGAATGAATGGTTAGGAGGATGGGAATTAAGAAATATAATAAAGGATGAATAATTAGGAGGATGAGAATCAAGGAATATAATAAAGGATGAATAATTAGAAGGATGAGAATCAAGGAATATAATAAAGGATGAATGGTTAGAAGGATGGGAATCAAGGATTAGTCAAAAGAATGAATGGTTAGGAGGAGGAAATCAAGGAATATAGGATGAATGGTTATAAGGATGGGAATCAGGGAATATAATAGAGTATGAATGGTTTGGAGGATGAGAATCAAGGATTACACTAAAGAATGAATGGTTAGGAGGATGGGAATCAATGAATATAATATAGGATGAATGGTTAGGAGGATGGAAATCAAGGATTATAAAAAAGGATGAATGGTTAGAAAGGATGGGAATCAAGGAATATAATAGAATATGAATTGTTTGGAGTATGGGAATCAAGGAATATAATAAAGAAATAATGATAGGAGGATGGGAATCAAGAATATAATAAAGAAAGAATGCCCTAGCAACCAGCGACGTCGCGCGACCAGTCCCATCAGGCCGTGGTTGTGGTTACGTCGGTTTACCTAACTGGTCGGAATATGACCAGTCCTCTAGGTCAAATTAGGTCGGGTTACGTCGGATTACCTAACTGGTCAGAACATGATCAGTCCCCTTAGGTCTCGTTACGTTAGATTACTTAACTGGTCTGAACATGACCAGTCCACTTAGGTCTTGTTACGTCGGATTACCTAACTGGTCTGAACATGACCAGTCCACTTAGGTCTTGTTACGTCGGATTACCTAACTGGTCTGAACATGACCAGTCCCCTTAGGTCTTGTTTCGTCGTATTACTTAACTGATCTAAACTTGACCAATTCCCTCAGGTCAGGTTAGGTTGGGTCCAACCGTTTTAACGTTTATTGTATACAAACAAACAAGCCAAATGTATATATTATGTATTTACTACAAACATAGATGAGAAAATATTTTCTTAACAGTCAGTCTTTTGCTACAGGTTGAACATTGCAATAAGGAAAACATTTATTTTTATATCATATTAAAACAAAAATTATCAACTAATAAAACTTGAACAGGAAAAAATAAAAGTCATATTTTTCAAAGATAAATATATGCTCCACAGGACCACAAAGCAATCGAAGACTTCAGAAAGTTACATGATTATTTCATTTTAACAAAAACTTTGATTTCCTAATTTGAAGGGAAAGGAAAAATCGCTTATTCGTTTTTTAAAGAATACAATTTAGATTTACTAGATTATTTTTCGAATAAAATTTCTCGTCCCTTTTGTAAACTGAAAACATTTAACTTTAATCACGTAGTTTTTATTTCGATATCACCGTGATTTGTAAAGAATAAATAGGCATGCGAAATCAAGGGACTGTAAGCGTAATTTCAAGGGACCCTCCATAAAAAAGATGGCAATATCCGATTTACAAACTTACTTAAAAGCTTTGTATGATGAAGTATGAATCAGATGTCAATGTTTATAACTTTACAACGAATAATTTACAAATGCGATTTCTTTACAAAAGTGACTTACGCATTTCTACTGCAAGAAACTTGTAGAAATTATCTGAAATAAAACAATTTTACACCATAAAGTGACTTACGCATTTCTACTGCAAGAAGCTTGTAGAAATTATCTGAAATAAAACAATTTTAAACCATAAAATTATCAAACGGTAAGGTTGTGTGAATCCGGCATTGTAATCTTTGCATGGAGGTCACTTAAAGAACGCAATGATCAATAATAATTTTATTAGACCTGATATTATAGTCTATTATTAGTTGTGAAAACAATAACAAATTAAAACATAGATTATTTTACTTTAGCAACCAACAAAATATAATTAAAATATCACAATTTCTCGCCATAGCTTCTCAAAATTCACATAAAATCCATTTTTAATGAATTTAGAATAAATGTGATGGAATATTCGAAAAAATTGAGCAAATCTCAATCCAAGATGTTTACCATACATATGAAAAAAACTATGAAATTATGTTTAGGTCCGAAAACCTAAGTAAATAAGGGTTTGCGCGCTGAAACTAAGGAATATCACAGAATAAGCGGGACTAGAACTCCTTTTATAGATTATTTTGATATTTCATTTAAAGAGCTGTATTCTTTTGATTAATAAGCATTATAAATCATGGCTGAAAATTAGAGCGTGTGATACAAACGTGATATAAATGAATGATGTAAATACATTTTTTTTATTTCCTGCCGTTTTTCTTCTTCTAAAAATATTTAACACTAAGCTTTACTGTAAAAGAATATCAATATTATTTTGTTAACACGTAGATTGAAATTCTAAGTACATCCAAGGAAGCATTGATTAATTTGAAAAGTTTACATATCTGACCAAACATAGCATGTTTTAGATTTATCTACGGAAAGAATATTTAGTCCAGTCGGGTGCCAAGAAACTGCGTAGATTCCTGAAGAATGTCCGCGTAGAACCTTCTCCACAACGCCCGTACACACGTTCCAAACATAAAGGTTTCCTTCACCTGAAATAAAAAAGCAACCTCAGTGACTATCTATCTATCTTTATATTTTAACCTTATCAAATCTGGAGAAGTGTGTGTAAATCTACACATGGGAATATTAATTATCAAATCCCGAATCTGTTCAACCCTCGGAATAAGAACATAAACAAGTTGACAGTAAAATGAGGACACTTAAAATTGGATTTTAAAATTTTCTTTACTGTAAGAAAATAAATTTAACCTGGTATCTTAAGTTGATCAAACTACCTACGTTTAATTTTTACCCCAAAGTTTAGAAAATGATTGCTAGCCCCCCCCCCACACTCTGGTGATAATTGAAAATAAAAACCCTAACTTAGTCTAGTTTCTACCTGTTCCAGCAGAGATATATTGTCCGTCAGGACTAAAACTAATTCTGCTCCAGTCGCAACCAACATGGAACTCCTCTCCACTATACGTTCCGACCACACCGTTGGTTCGGAGATCTACTATACTCAGCTTATCATCTCGGGAGCAGATCCCCAGATAGTTTTTATCCTTAGTGAGATCTAGACTTGTCACTTTCCCACCGACAATAACTTCATGCAAGGGTTCGGAGGAAGACCGTATGTCCCAAAATCTGACTTTCTTGTCAAAATGACCGCTGATCACAGACATTTCTGTCGTCACGACGTCGTTGCACGACGATCCTGCAAATTTAGTTGAGATGCAAGCTTTACTTCGCAAATCCCAGATCTTTAATGTTCTATCATGGCTTCCACTCACAACACGTGTAGCGTCGCCGAAAAATTTGGCGGATAAAACTTTGTTCGAGTGTCCAGTCAACGTGTGTCTAAGACGGCAATCGTCGATCGTCCAAACTCTAGTGGCATAATCATTACTAGCTCCAAGTACCATAGTTCCGTTGAGATCAAAATCTACTCCCATAACAGCTGCATTACTACCAGTAAGGATGGCTTTACACTCCGCTTGTTGTAACCTCTCTATCTCCCAAACCTTGATTTTCCGATCTGTTCCTGCAGTAGCGAAGTATCTGCCCCCGAAGTCCCACTGAACACACATCACTTCACCCTCATGGGCTTCAAACTTAAACGCTGCTTTAGTTGGAACAGTCACTCCAGTAACTATAAAAATAAGGATTAAACAAACAAAAACGTTTAAGTGACTTTCCGTTTAAAGAGTGTCATATATCCGATTTACAATAGTACCCTTTTAACCTCTTTTTAGTAACAATAAAAAGGTGCCGCCGTTTTTCTTAAAACGTGTTGAATTCTAACAATTTCCATCATTGTGTCTGCACTCTGCAGCATACACCCAAAAGACTCATTTAAGAGAAACCAAAATTAAAAATAATAATTTTTCAGGAAAACCGGGAAGATTATCTCATTCATCGTTGATCAGACAAAGGTTGGGTACCGTTGTGGATCGAATATGCCCCTTAACCAAAAAAAAACTTTACTTATCCGCGAACAAAAGCAAACCCAGCTGTAATACCTGTTCGAAATGTTGTAATTCCCTGATTCGCCGTCTCCGGTATATGTCTGAACTCACTAGCTGCCTCTGCTAGTTCCAACTGCATTAATTGCTGCTTTTTCAACATAAATAAATCGTTCTCTAGATTCATCCGATCCGCGTCCTTTGCCTAAAAAATCAGTTTAAATATCGAAATCCAAAAGTCATTTTGAAAATAGATTATAAAACAGGGGTGTAGAGTGTAGACGATGTAGACTGTAGATAATTCCCCCCGCCCAGCCCTTTTAAATTTTTTTTTGTATTTTTATGGTTTTGTTTGCTGAACTGGGGAAAACAAATAGTTTTAGGGCAAAATATTAGAACTTTTGTGTAATTAGTATAAAACGTGTGTGAATATTTATCAGAATTTTCCCTTTTAAGTATCAAAAAAAGTTGAAAGACTTGCCTTTTTTGTTCAATTTGTCCTTTTTCCCACAGAGGACCCCCGGCCCCTCCCCGCGAAATATACCCCAAACTCATGCTATAAAAAAAAACCTTAAGAGCCATAAGTTGAACGACCAAGGTATCGTTTTCTCTCTTAACCGAGCTGAGACTAGTCTCTGCTGTTGTTAACGCCAACTGCAACGCTTGATACTCGTCCTGTAAAGTTTAAGAGGTGTAAAACATTTTCATATGACATATCTTTCTTCAACTATTTATATATATCTATCATGTACAAAGTAATTCACTCCTCCCACCATCCCTGAGAACTACTTATTTTGAATTATACATCCTAACGGGAATAGATCAGTATATCTTTACGGGAGCGGAGAACCTCGCTCTATTTAAAGGCAGGACACAAATGAGATGTATGGATGAATACACAAAATGACATATTAAGGGCGACTGCAGCGAAATGTCGGATAATCAACAGCAGGGTGAGATCAGAGGGTCCCGTATGTAAATTATGTTAATAAAGTACAAAGTAAAGAAGTTGTTAAAGAGACAGATGATCATTTAAAGCTAGTTAGTAATGACAAAACTGAAACGTTTCAATTGTATACATACAGTAAAATCTTTTATATCTAATTAAGTTGTTTATAACTGTTTTGGTTTATACCTATTTAAGTTGGCTTTACCTTTAACAACTGGTTTGTACTTTCTAATTCCTGCAGACTAGATTGGAAGTTGGTTAAATCTTGTTTTAGTATCATCATCTCGGCTTCTAAGGATTCTATTGCTAAATTTTTCGTTGAAATCTCCTTATCTGAGAGTTTTAAGGCCGCGGAGAGGTCAATTACCTGCTGCGCATTTTCTCCTTTCCGTCTAAATAAAGTTTCCTAACTAAATTATTATTTTTTTTAAGGATGGGATATCATTGAAAAATACTTTGAAATAACTTTTTTATATAATTTAATCATTTAAGGTTGATTTTGATTTTGAAGAGGCCTCACAAGAAATATTTGTTTTTATTCACTTTGGTAGAAGACTTTTGAAACGAATTTCAAAATCGCATGATTTGTTTGACATAGTTTGAGCTTATCAGATTAAGAGAGGACACTCAAAACCTTGGATTTAAAAAAACAGAGCCAATTATTTTTAACCTGTGCATCTCTGTAAGCTCTTCTTGTAGACGAAACAGTTTCTGATGAAGCTCGTTAACTGTGACACTATCAGCTGCTTGAGATACTGCAGCTCTACTATGAATAGAAGCTTCTAGTTGTCGGTTCTCCAGCTTGAGATTCTCTGCTAGAGTACTGAGTGAGGTGTTCTCCTCCTCCAGGATGGAATTTCGTTCTATTAGTTTAGTTTGGATAAGGATTAAGTTCTGAAACGGAGAAACCTGCTCATTCGTTCTCCGCTTCAACTAGACAAATAAAGCAGAGATAAAAATGTTTTTAATTTCTACTCATTGAACAGACGTCATGGGTAAAATGGCGATTTTATTTTTGGGAAGATGGCAAAATCGCATTTATCTCATTTATCATTTTTATTTATAAAACGTATTTGGCATTTCTTGCATAATCCAATCAATTGAATCAGGAATACGTTCATATAATACAGGACGATTAAACCACAAAATTGTATGCTAATGTGGGATATTGTTCTTAATGTTAATAATCTGAAGTATGAACAAACCTTGAACAAAATATCCTCCCTCCACCCTCCGGACATTTTCTCTAAAAATAAAAAATAAAACTTAAAACACAAAAAACAGATACATGAAAACTACTTTATCACAAACTTAATATTTTCAGTTGATAACGATATTAAATATTGCACATAAAAAGTAAAAAGTGAGATTGAGATCTTTTGTAAAAAATACAAAATAATATTTTCAATTTTCTTTACGTGACATCACGTACAATGTACATATAACTTTCCTAAAAATAGCAGTAACATAGGCTGCAGGACATCATACTTTAACTGTAGGTTGAATAATAATTCTTGAAAACCATAAAATAAATAAAAATAATTGAACTAAATGCAGAATGTAAATTTGTTAAGAATACTAAAAGGTTTCTACGGACTGAGGAAGGTTGAGATGAACACGGCTGTATCCAAGTTTAAAGTTGCATGCCACCACTTATCCGGGAAATAAATCACTTCTCCAGGTCGTATTGTACATTCATACATTTTTACCTGAACAAAGGTGGATTTAATTAACTTCTAAAAGAGATGGTTTGTGAAAAACTAAATGGGATGGGATGAATTTAGAATCAATCAGCAATATTTATATTTTCTAGATTATAAATCAATGCAGAATTCTAGTTCATCTCCTGTCCCCTCTCCTTTTTCATAAAAGCTCCCTTTAACAAGGGAATATTGTAGGAGGGAGCACTGAGTATATTAGACAAGGGAACTGTTTACAAAAGTATTCTCCGAGCTGAGCTAAGACTAGAGCTGTGAGGTCAGGATTATATTACGGTCGGCTAAAGATCAGCATGAAATGATCCAACATCTAACTCGAGATAAGGCATAATGGCAAAAATGAAAAAAATCCGAAATCTCCTCCTAAACATAAAACCTTTCTTATTTTAATAAAATCCGTAAATGTACAAACCTCTCTCCGAACCCTAGGATAGTCTTGATGAAACCATTGTAAAGTTGTCTTGTTAGGATGGAACTCAGGTCTCTCATCCGGCTGAATAGAAAAAATGTGTTCACGAGGAAAGGATAGGTTTAACCTGACTGTCGTTATAATTTCTAGCGACCTTTAATTTAAAAAGTTGCCTTTTTTTTTTCTTGGGGGGGGGCCATTTTACGCTTCTAGGAAATATTTTGTCAAGAAAATATAGCCCTTCCGAAACTTTTATCTTGCGAAAAAAATCAACTTAAATTAATTAAATTTATTTTTGTTTAAAATGATAAAAATGTTACCTCGGTAAAGTATATGGAGGTTGTGAATACTCGTCTAATAGTTCTTTCCATTCAATAAAATCATTGTCCCCGAACATATAGAAGGTTTCTAAACATTACGATAAAAAGAAAGCAAATCAATCAATCAACCGACCGACCAATCTATCAATCATTCTTTCATTCATTCATTTAGAAACGCCGTAATATCCACATTTTTCTTACCATTTCCGTATGTGTTTAAGTTCTGCGGAGACAGATGGTGCTGACAGTAGTCTGAGAAAGTAATATCCTTCTTCTCGTAGCTGTGTGTGTTAGCAGAGCTCAATCTAACCACGGAGTCACCGTACTCACTCAACAGTTCAGACCTAAACTTAAAGCTTTAAATATTTCTTTTTAAGACCCCCCCCCCCATCTTCAAAAATCATTTCCAAGTGTTTCTAAAGAATTTGTATGTTGTTTAAAAAAGAAGATACAAATTAAAACTTAATTAATCCAATAAAAAACTTGGTTTTATTTATGTTTCTGGTTAAAATACAAGAAAAACAAAACTTACTTTCCAGTAAGAGCTCTAAACAAATCATTGTTAGCTCCGTCCCGCACTATCAAGGGTTCAGTGAACGCAAACTTTTCCAAGAACTCCTCTTGGCTGAGTGTATTGTCTCGTATGGGTATATTACAAGGTCCGGGAGGGACGGATATATCTGAAGGATAGGTTTCCCAACCACCGTTAGAGATAGAGGGCTTCCTTATTCCATCACAGCTCCAGATAATTATACAGTAAGTCCATGGATTAAATTTCATCTGAAAAAAAGGAATTACAATACGGAGATCTTAAGATTAATTAAAAGATGTTTCAGCAAGTGTAGATATTTATTTGATTTAAAATCCTCCTCGTCCTCCGAAACCTCCGGGGGGAGCTCCGCGCATCGGAGGCGCGGAGGCATGAGCTCCTGGTGCCATCATTTGAGGTGAAGGTCCACCAACTCCTCTGACTGGACCTGAGAGTCCTGGCTGGGATCCTCCTGGACCACCGATACCACGTCCTGCTGCTCGGCCCATGCCTGGTCCTCCACCTCCAGGAACAGGAACACGGGGCATACCTTCATCCTGAGGAGGAGGTCCCTCAACAGTCATGGACACTGAAAAATATTTATGTTTTTAATTCTCAGGTTTAAATACTGCTTTCTAAGTTACATGTATTTCCTAAAATTGAATTATGAATTTTATTGAAAATCTCCGACCCCTCTTAAAAATAAATGTTGTAAAATAATTAAAATTAAAATGTTGAAAACTTTTTTTTCAGTTGTGTCGACTGACCAATGTTCTCTCCGCGGAGCAGAACTAGACCCAAAACCCGCTTCTCCTCTCTCTCTGCAGACTTGGCAGACTTAGGTTTGAGTTTTCTAAACTCCTCACAGTCTCCTAGGATAACGTTCATGTGCTTGTCAAAAGCTTTGAACTGTCCGATGAAGGTTCTAGAGTCCTAGAAATAAAATATTTTGAGAACAAAAACAAAAAGTGAAAATCAATAATAAAATATCAAAAAACGGTAATAATATTGCCAAATAAGATAGAATAATATAATATAACTAACTCCAACAATGGTCTACTTCAATTATTACTTTTATGACACGAGACCAGAATAACCAAACTCTCATCAAAATGATCTCTTAGTCATGTCTAAAGTAGTTATACTATCCGTAGCGAATTATCTTACTTCTCTCGTATATAAATTCTCTTTTTAGAGATGATGTTGAAGATAGTTTAAAAATCTAAACTAACCTGAAGAATGACCCTCATCCTGCAGTTGATGTAGTTCTGCATCTTGTTACTTTTCCCGATCATTTTGAGGTTTTAAACGTTAGTCTGAAAAATATATGTATCTATTCTATAATATTTCTATATATCATATATTTTGTGTAATTTTAGTTTATTATTATTTACATGAAGTTAAACTGTATAATGATAAAAAAGAATAAAGTTGTTAAATCTAAAAGTTTGGAAGAAGTCTAAAATCTAAATAAATGCATTATTTCAATATATACAATTAAGTGACACTGGGAAGACGAATTGATCAAACCTCAACAACTTTTTACAAAAAAAATGTCGTAACTAAGACATTACTTTATAGATTAAAAAAAATTTCATACTTCATTAAAAACAAGTATTAAGAAGTTTTTATTGGGGTATTTTACTTTGAAAAATTAAGTTTTTTAGGTAAAAAAAAACCTCCATTCTCCAAGATAATATAGCGTTAAAAGGTAAATACAGGCCTTCAATTTTGGTTGTAGTTTCCATATTTTCTTTTCTATTTGTTTCCAGAAGCGAATACACCATATTCTCCTGGCTTTATCTCTTTTTCACCCTGTACCTCTGAATACTTTCAGAAGTGCACATTAAGGCCCAGTTATTGCTTTTCCGAAAGCTCAATGTACACTATCAAGTTGAAGATATTTTTTCCGTTTTTCACCAAAGCTGTAAAGAAGGGGAGAGGAGATAATCTTGAATATATAAACCGCTGTTTTACATTAAAACTATCTCTGAAGGAGGCATATTCAGTGGCAAGGCCCATTCAGGAGAAACTTCTGCTATTCTGGTACGCGAATATTGACAAAATTCACGATTCTGTCTTGTTACGTATTCAAACCAAGAAGAAAACTTGTCAGAGCCAGGAAGGTTGAGAAGATCAAGATCGTTATAAAATCTAATTTTTTTACATCCTTTGTAAACACTCTTCACCAATTCACCTTCCTGAACGTGAAAAAGGCAATCACACCCATAGATCCCTTCAACGAACAGTTTCTCAAGGTTCGGTAGATAAAGCTTGAAATTTGAACACCGCTTGTCTACTGAAAAAGCCAATTCTTGAATCGTGTTGCTTGAAATATCAAATACAAAGTCTTCTGTTGTCATAAAGTTCAGAAGGTGGAGGATCTTAACTCGGATGGAAGATACCATGCTACTCAGAAAGTCTAATTTAGAAATGTTGTCCTGATCTCGGTGGTAGTAAGATGTGCCCCGTAGAATCAGTTCATTCAGATTCACAAACCTAGTCAGGCGCTCGGTTACAACATCACAAAACGTAGTATTGTCTACAAGTATTTCTAGCTTTTGTAGAACACGGGAGGGAAGAGAAGATAAAATATAGGTTACAATTTCCTTGTATTCAGGAGAAATCTTAAAACCGTTAAAGTTGGGACCAGACATCTTCAGTTCTTTCAGGTTATTCAAGTTAAGAGCTGAAAAATACGAGATTCTTGAGCAGGGTATGGATAGTTTCAGATTTCTCAGATCATATGTGCTGGTCAGCTTGAGAACAGGTTTCTTGTGCTCAAGAACAGATGGTGGGTATGGGACCATTACATGGACAATATATCGGGATTTTATTATCCTCTCCAACTCCCTACAGGTATGGGTGAGGTTGTCTATATCACTGACTGTAACAATCTGGAGAATAAGTACCAGTATCTCTAGAGGTAGGTTGAGAAGTGGAGAGTTCTGAGATACATCAACTCTGGGAAGAACTGAAGTCTCACAGGACTGTTCAATAATATCCAACTCATCTTTCGGCAAAACAGCCTTACTGCCATGGAACATGAATATTTCAGACGATATTTGAACACCTTCATCCTCCATTTGATCAAGTCTTCCTCCTTTTTTCATCCATTTGGTCGTTGAGGCTCTTTTCTTCCTGGACATGATAAAACTGTATTCAAAACTCTGAAAATAAAAATTTAAAATATAAAACATACAGGGGTCATAAATATTAGATTAAAGATTAGATAAGATATATAAAGAAAAACACGAATGTTGAATGTTAGAATTGATATATAATTATATATAATTGTAACTATTGGTGTTGTAATGGATTTTTCTCGAGTACTGGCAAAAGTTATCACTATCACTTGTAATGTTTTCAAACCATGAAGAAAACTTGTCGGAGCCAGGAAGGTTTTGAAGATCAATATTGTTAAAAAATTTAATATTTTTACATCCTTCATAAACACTCTTTATCAATCCACCGTTCTGAGTGTGGAAAAGACACTCACAACAATAGCATCCTTCAACGAAAAGTTTCTCTAGATTCGGCAGATCGAACTGAAATTTTGAACAGTTCTTGTCTACTGAAAAAGTTAGTTCCTTGATGGAGTTGCTTGACATCTCCAATACAAAGTCTTCTGTTGTGAAAAAGTTTAGAAGGTGGAGGATCTGAACTTGAGTATAAGATAACAAGGTTCTCAAAAAGTCTAATTTAGAAATGTTTAACCCTCGATTGACGTCCCCTGTGCCCCGTAGAGTGAGTTCATTGAGATTCACAAACCTAGTTAGGTTTTGAGTAACAACATCACAGAAAGATGTATTGTCAACCAATATTTCTAACTTTTGTAGAACACAGGAGGGAATAGAAGATAAAATGTAGATTACAATTTCCTTGTATTCAGGGGTTAACAACACCTCTCCTAGGGTATAGTTAGAATCGTTAAAGTTGGGACCAGACATCTTCAGTTCTTTGAGGTTATTCAAGTTAAGAGCTGAAAAATAAGAGATTCTTGAGCAGCAGGGTATGGATACTTGCAGATTTCTCAGATTATATGTGCTGGTCAGCTTGAGAACAGATTTCTTGTGCTCAAGAACAGAAGGTGGGTATGGGACCATTACATGGACAATATATCGGGATTTTATTATCCTCTCCAACTCCATACAGGTATGGGTAAGGTTGTCTATATCGCTAACTGTTACCATCTGGAGAATAATTTCTAGCACCTCTAGGGGTAGGTTGAGCAGGGGCGAGTGTTGGGACGCAGCAACCCCACGATGAAATGCAGTCTCGCTGGACTGTGGTATAATATCCAAAATCTCATTAGGCAACCCAACCTTGCCTGTATGGAACATGAATACTTCAGCTGATATTTGAACACCAAAATCCTCCATTCGAACTAGTCTCCGTCCTTTCCTCATCCAGTTAGTAGATTCGACGCGTCCTTTCCTTTTGGGCATGATTTTTACAGCTTTATTCTAAAATGGGGAAAATTGAGAATTAAGAAGAACTTAATTTTTAACATACTTTCGGGGTTCGTCCTAGTATACGTTTTTTGGACACCCCTCATAGCTAATTCGTACATGATCACTAAATTTCAGCAAAATTATTATTATTTATTTGTATTATTTAGGGTTAGATTAGGTTAGGAAAATTTCTAGGCCGAGTGCTGCGGCTAGGGGGCCAATTGCTGGGGCTAGGACAGGCAAGGGGCCGAGCGCCGCCGGCCACATGAACAATTAATTCCATGTGATACATTTGAGATCCATGTACAAAATTGAAGGGGGGGGGGGTCAAAAATCGTTTTCAGTAAATAAAAAATGTCCGAGTCCGATCAAATTTAGCAAATTGAAAAATCTTCAATCATATCTATGGAAATAAATGTTTCAACGATATTTTATACACACTAAACAACGAATAGCAAATTTAAACATAACATAAAATTCAACCATGAACATGAAAAGTTTTTATTGGCACCAGTGACATGGTTAACGTATCAACACGGAACCAGTGAAATCTATAGATTTCAGGGGGTTTTCAGACCCCAAAGGGTGCTGAGGCACCACTTTTAATGAAAAAAGTTTAAGCCCCCCCCCCCGAATATGCCCCGGTAATTTCTTAGAGAACGATTTTTGGACCCCCCCCCCTCCTCCTATCAATTATGTACATGAACACTTTTTTAACAATTTTCAATTTTATTAGTATTTATTTAGGGTTAGGTTAGGTTAAGACACTTTCTGGGCCGAGCGCTGCGGCAAGGACAGGCTAGGCGGCCGAGCGCTGCGGCAAGGACAGGCTAGGCGGCCGAGCGCTGCGGCCACATGTCCTACATTTAAGATCCATGTACACAATTGATAGGAGGTAAAGGCACGGGGGGGCGGGTCCAAAATCGTTCTCTAGGAAATTACCGCAGCGTATTCGAGGGAGGGGGGAGCTAAAACTTTTTAAAAGGGGTGGCTCAGCACCCTGGGGACTGAAAACCCCCTGAAATCTTAGATTTCGCTGATCCAGGGGGGACTGAGCCCCCGGGTCTGTCCTAGTATACGATTTTTTTCAGAATATTAGCTCATTGCTCTGGCATCAAATGCTACGAGTAGCTTATATGTTAGCAAGTTACAAAAATTTCATTTTGAATATAACTTTGCTCCTTGAACAAAATTTAAACAATGATCGTTCAGATTGAAATTTGGAGAAAGTTAAGATCAAAAAAGGTTTAAAGATCTAAGCCGCGAAACGATTCAGAGAGTCAGAAATGCAGAACCAATACGAATCCTGTATTTGGTTAATAAACCGGTTTACATCTTCTTCCAACCAATCAGATTGTAGAATATCTGAGACGGAGAAGAGAATGTGGCATGCGCTTCTAAATAAATCAACCCAATTTATTCGTTGCTTCAGTTTCTAAGCCAATATTTTCTCAACATATTTCGCGATGACACATTAGAAGCTTGGTGAAGTGTCAACGATTCGGCAGTTGTTCTCATTAAATATCATGCTGATAGGACTATTTTACATAATGAAAATTCATTAAGAACAGTTTTTTTTGAGGGCCTAAATCTAACAGTAAGTCGATTCTCTCTTGAAACACAACCGATAAATGAATCGATAAATGAACGAATTTTGGACCCCCCCCCGGGCCCTCCCCCTCCTATTAATTTTGTACATGACCACTAATTTTTCAGTAAAAATATTATTTATTATTTTAGGTTAGGTCCTGGGCCGAGCGCTGCGGCTAGGACAGGCTAGGGGTGACGAGCGCTGTGGCTAGAACAGGCTAGGGGGACGAGTGCTGTGGCTAGCACAGGCTAGGGGGCAGTAATGGTAATTCTTGATGACAAACTTTTTATAATCTGCTGCTAATTTAAATGAATATTTGCAGCACTGTTAAAATTAAATTTGCTGTTAGTGCAGGATGAAAGATAAAGTTTACAACTTTTTAATAAAGAGGATAAAAGATTTCGCAGTTAATTTGCCCCTCCACACAAATAAGTTTAAGAAAAACGCTAACCGCTATATTTTCGTAATAATTTCAGATATTCTACTCTGGCATGTGATCCAATAATATGAACATCTGAGATGTTGACGGAGCAAGAGAAGCGAGGTATGAGTGAACTGTTGTCCAGGATGGAGAACAGGGATCTTTTCTCCCTCGCACAAACGGTCACAAACCGTCTCATCCTACCAGAATCTACTGGAGAAGCAATACAGGCAGAAAACATAAATTTTTATTTGAATTTTGCGCAATTTATTTAAATTTTTTAAATGAGATCACATTTATAATTTATTGTCAAATAAAAAAGCAAACGATTTTTATTTTAAATTAAAATCGCATAAAAAAAGTTTTTTTGTTTGTCTGATTAGGCGATCATCCTTCATACCGACAAATCTCTGGATCTTTTAAAACGAAGAAAAGTGAAAAAGGACTTTTTGTTTAAATATCTTCATGACAAGAAGGTTTCAATCGAAGCTTCAGCGGATAAAATCACAATTCTCCGCAAGGTTTTAGAGATTTGGGGTTCGAATGACGAGGTTGAAATGTATATTGACGATGATAACTCCTACGACGCTCCGCCTCCTGCCCCTGTTCCGTCAAGGAACGCCTCCCACACCTCCCTTTGTAGTCTTGACCTTTTCCCAGCCTCGTATAATGTGAATTCATTTAAAGTAGATTCTAATCTCCGTAGAACAGAATCAAGTATGTCTATCATGAACTTTGATGAATCAAGCAATTCTTCTTTCACTTTTGGATCAAGTTTACTCCATCAGACGGAGACAAGTCCTGCCTCACTGCACAGCTCTCTTCCTACTTTAAACTGCTCCCAGCCTATGTTCCAGTCCTCCCAGCAAGTTCTCCCTGGAACACAATCAATTAATTCAAATACATTCACTCAGTCACAATGCCAGGAGATGGCAAATAACTTCGTGAGTTGGTTCTACGAGATACTCAACACTTGTAACAACATAACCACGGAGTTCAATCCCTCCATGTTCTGGCCGGACGCTAACGCCAAGGTGAACCTTCTCGGAGTTAACGGTGAAGCAATTGAATCCTTCTTGGTGGAGGAGAGTGCTGGTGATGTATGTGATAAGTTCAAGGACGTGGTGAGACGACACGGACTAAAGTTTAATCCGAACCTGTGTGATGAAGGAGTACGAGGAAGGTTGGATCCTCATGGTCTAGTTGTTGTTCTCTCCTGTGGAACATTACATAATCAACATACAGTCTGCGGAGTTTTTGAACAGGTTAAACATTTCATTTTTTTATTCCTTCATATTTAAATTTAAAAGGAAATTATTCAGGAAATTATAAATCTCTGCATTATTATTCTTTTAATTTTAGTTACTAATTCTTTTACCGTCTTTCTGTTGTTAAATCATCAGGATTATTTTTCACCTAGTTTGAACCGTGAAATAAAATTCTCATTTTATTCTTCATTTTTAATATTTTTTTCATTTGAAAGGCCTTCTGTCTGGTTCGTGATCCAGGTTCAGAGAACAATTGGAAAATAAAACAAACCGAAGCAAGATTTTTTGCCAAGAGTGTGATCGAAGAGCCTAATCTAGCGAACAGTTCATTGTGTGCCATCGCATACAGCTAGTCTAGACCCTGCGTGAGAATATAGACAGTAAACATCAGGTCAACTGATCTCAGAAGAACAATATATCACTTGGAAACTGTGTATCCCCATCCCTAGAAATCACTATTTATCACATAAATGTTAAACAGTAATGATATTCTTCTTCCTAGTTTTTGAAATAAATGTCTAATCTGACGGGGGGGGGGGGGGTTATGTAATAAACATTAACAGAAAAATTTACTTTTTACGATGCACAAACTTCTGCTTTTGTTTTTATTCTGCGGGGAAATCCCCAACCTGCCTCAATTTTAACACATTGAGTTTGTATCAAGTAGATTTTTTCCAATAGCATTAAAGACAACCTTTTTACACGCCCGTAATTTAATCCATGTTAAATTCTTGACTTTTACTCTAGTGCACAAAATTGTAATATAATTTGATTTTTTATTAACTGTTATCCTTAAAGTGCAAAAATGTGCCCATAAATTAATCAAATTATATACTGAACACTATGCACACACTCGTTGGCCTTCTTCTCAAACTCAGGCGTGGACACAATAACATGTATTTATGTTGTTTTGAAATTTGTACTATAAAGTAATAATGTTTAGTTACTGCAGATATGATTATTTGAATCATAATACCATCCAGGTTCAACCTTATTTTTCATTTTTATCTAACCAAAGAACCCAACCTGACCTAATGGACAAAAAATTTTAGGATACTCTAGCTTGGTCCTTGTCTAAGGTGCAACTGGGGGGGAGCCGATAATCTTTGCCCTCAAGGATTCTTTAAGGTCCAAACACTCAGAAATAAATCTCCCCCCTCCCCTCCGAAGACAAGTTTTGGTTGCGCCTCTTTTTCCTCTAACCAAGTATTTACATCTATGTACATTGTGATACGTACTCAACCTAAGGATTTTCTAATTTTGACCTTAACCCTCGATATATTTGTGAAAATGGAGAAAACAATTTTAAATATTAATTAATTGATGAATATGAAACATGATTAAAATGTACATTGTACAGCATCTAAAACAGAATATATATTTTATTCATTTCATAAATATTTTTAACTACCGCATTGTTTCAAACTTTATTAGTAATTGAAAGATTACATTTTTTGGGTTTTTACCGCATATAAATTTTAAAAATAGCTCTAAATGATTTCTAAACCTATTTTAACGTAAATACATTTAAATTATTCGCTAAAAGAGAAATATTATGAAACAATTAATTTCCTGTCTTTGTTAAAATATCCGTAGTGGAATATTTCCTTAATTTTTGAAACACTCCTGTTATCTGTTTTCTCTTCTTCTATCATCTGTCTCTCTACTCCTGTTATCTGTTTTCTCTTCTTCTATCATCTGTCTCTCTACTTCTGTTATCTGTTTTCTCTTCTTCTATCATCTGTCTCTCTACTCCTGTTATTTGTCTCTTCTATCATCTGTCTCTCTACTCCTGTTATCTGTTTTCTCTTCTTCTATCATCTGTACTCTCTACTCCTGTTATCTGTTTTCTCTTCTATCATCTGTACTCTCTACTCCTGTTATCTGTTTTCTCTTCTTCTATCATCTGTACTCTCTACTCCTATTCTCTGTACTCTCTACTCGTAGAATCTTTTTTCTTTTCTTCTATCATCTGTATTCCTAACTCCTATTATTTGCACTCTCTTCTCCTATCCTCTGTACTCTCTACTACTATCAACTGTATTCTCCGTTCCTATCATCTGTACTCTCTACTCCTATCCCCTGTACTCTATTCTTACCATCTGTACCTTTACTCCTGGTCCCTGTCTTGAATTATCAATACCACTTATTCTACAATATCTCTACTCCTAGTCCTGTTTAATCTATACCTCTTATTCTGTAATATCTCTACTCTTAGTCCTGAAATATCTATACCCCTTATCTTATTCTGTAATATCTCTACCCCTTATTCCGTAATATCTCTACTCTAAAGCCCTGTAACATCTATGAATTAATATCTCTACTCCTAGTTATGTATTTTCGACCCTTATTCTGTAACATCTCTACTCTTAGTCCTGTTTCTATCTATATGTTTATGATCTATATCTATATATTTTACTTGTCTGTCTGTCTGTCCGTTTGTATCCAATAAACTTCAAATCGGCTGAACCGATCGGGCCCAAATTTTTTGTGGGACCTCGTATGACCCCAGGGATGGTTTTGGATGATCGAATTTACCATAATTTGCCTCCATCAAAATTCTAATTTAGAAAATCCACGAAATTTTTTATAAAAACCGCTAAATTTTGTTATTGTTCTACAGTGAACACAAAGAGAACATGTTCACATTAATGGAAATGGTAGATGGGCGTGAAAAAAGTGGGATTTGCGGCGCCTGGTGCAAAATTGTACCTTTTTTAAGCAACTTTCCTGTATGGTGTCTTTTCAATATTTTTTGAAAATATGTAATTTTTTTTGGTACTCCAATGGCCCAAAAGAAAATCCGCAAATCTTTTTTTCTATCAAAATCAAAAGTTCAGAAAAGCAAAAATGTGCATTCATATTATTTCTCTCCAAATCCAAAATTTTATTAAGATTGAATCACAGAATTACAGAAAATTGGCGAAATTGTTAAAAGAAAATTCGCAAGTCTCAGTTCAGGGCTAATTTTAAGGAAAAGTTATTTAAATTCTCTAGTTCCTTTCTTCTTAGTATATTCTAAAGTATTAAATATACGCTGTTCAGTTGAAACCTTGAGAACCATTGAAAAACAATTTTTCCACAAAAATTACACCAGAACTGAAAATTGCGAATTTTCTAATTACAATTTTGGAAATTTTAGATTTCGATAGAAACAATTTATTTACACATTTTTGTTTTTCTGAACTTTTGATTTTAAAAGAAAAAAAGGTTCGCGGATTTTTTTTTGGGCCATTGAAGTACCAAAAAAATACAAATTTTCAAAAAATATTAAAAAAACACCAAACAGAAGAGTTGCACAAAAAGTTACACTTTTGCACCAGGCGCCGCAAATCACACTTTTTTGACTCACCCTGTATATACTTTGCTTGTTTGTATTAAATAAGCGTCAAAACGGCTAAACCTATCGGGCCCAAACTTTGTGTGGGATCTTACATGATCCCAGCGAGGGGAGGGGGGCTTGCCCCCCTCCCCTCGTACGCCCCTGCTACTTCTTGTCCTGTATTATCTACCCTTACTCTGTAATATCTCCACCCTAGTCCTGAATTATCTATACTCCTTAATCTGGAATATCTCTATATAACTTTACTTCTAGTGCTGTATTATCTATACTCGACTTAATCTGGAATATCTCTATAACTCTACTCTATAGTCCATCCATCTAAACCCCTGTTTCTGTAATATCTCTAAGCTCATAGTTGTCCCTACTCTGTAATATCTCTATTCCTTATAGTCCTGCACGTATTATCTTCACTCCGATTCGTGAGTATCTGCAATTTTAGTCGAGTAATTATCTATTTATGTCGTTTTTTATAATAATTGTCCGGTTTTTTTAATCTCTTAATTTTAATCCTTTCTTGCTAATTTATCTCTCCTTGAAAATTAAATATGATATGCTGAGTGAAGTCCTTGAAGTGTAGAACTTTAATTATTTATTATATTTCTTGTTTTACAGGTGTGTGCGGTATGAAGATGGGGCAGGGGTCAATATAATTCCCAAAAAAGCTGATTTTCTCGATCCCAAAATAATTTTTTGCCCCCAATTTTTAAAAAAATTTCTAAAAAAAATGCCCCCAATTTTATTTTTAATTATCAAAAAAAAAAATTTGCCCCCAATTAAAGAATTTGCCCCCATTTCTTTCAAATTTGTCAATCCCAAATGGGATTGAAAAAGGAATTATATTGACCCCTGAGATGGGGTGGTTCATGCTGAGTGAAACCGCAAAGTAAGGGGTTGGGGAGGTTGGGTCGGTTGGGCGTCTCTCTGGCGACACTTGAACATCAGAAATGTCGTCGTTTAAAACAGGCAGGGCTATAAACCCGCTTCAGCTTTCCAAGAATAGGTTTGATTTTTTTTAGATAAACATTTTGGGTATTTGTTTATATCCTTTTTTAAATTGAGGATTATTATCAATAGCTTCCAAATTTTGGTACCGAGAATTAATCTCCCTGTTCATAGTTATGAGGGTCTACTCTGGAGGATTAAACTCCCTGAGATTGGAAGGTTGCGGCATTGACAGAAACTTTCACGAAAGGTTGAGTCTACCTGTGAAAAACAGGTTCCACACCCCAACACTGACTCACCCAAGCAAGCACATAAGCAAACCACCTTCATGTTTAATCAAAATAAAGAACCCTTTTTAATTTTTGCATTTTTTCTTTCAAACAGTTTTGTGATGATATTCTACAGAATTGTTATCCTGGCATTATGAAAACAATTGTTTTCTAATTTGTATAGTATACCATCTTAAACTTGCAAGTAATCATTTTCGACATTTACAACGTTTTCATTTCAGATATCCTGCTTGAAAATGGAGTAAAACAGAACAGTCCGGCACACTAAGAACAGTTCTGAACACCAGTGAGATTTCAGACTAAATCCAGAATATTTATTATCGAGTCAAGGGTTTAATTGTGAAATAAAAACCATGAATTTAGATCAGCAACCCTAGTGAATAATTATGCATCCGAATCAAAGTTCAAGACGTTCCCTTGAGACGGAACTGGACATAGCGGTTAAAAGCGGAGAGTTAAAGTTACAATGCAACAATTTATCAGATTTCCCTCGAAGTTTGGGAAAACATTTCGTCCTAACGGATACACGGATAGCAGATCTATCAAGAAACAAACTTGTGGAATTACCGGTAGACTGCACTTACTTCCCTAGTCTGGAGAAACTTATCCTTTATCATAATATTATTAAATCCATCCCTGACTCTATATCTAGTTTGCAGACCCTCCAGTATCTTGACCTGAGCAGGAACCAGCTTTCATTCATCCCTCATGCAGTTTGCCAGCTCTCACAGTTACAGAGTTTAGTTTTAAACAATAATAAACTTGTTTCTCTGCCGGAGGAGATTGGAGAACTAACCAACCTAATGCAATTAGATGTCTCCTGCAACGAGATTGCCCATTTACCAGTTCAGATCGGAGATCTATCCAACCTAAGAACTCTGAGTTTGAGACGAAACCATCTCCAGGAGGTTCCTGTTGAGCTAACTTACCTCCAGCTGAGCACTTTGGACCTCTCGTCCAACAGGCTGAGCAACCTGCCCGTGGAGCTGAGGTTCATGATCACCCTAGTGGAGTTGAACCTCGAGGAGAACCCCCTGAGTTGCCCTCCTGCTAACATGTGCTGTAGAGGACGGGTTCATATATTTAAATATCTTGAAACTATTGCCATCAAGGAGGATAAGAAGCGTGGAATACTGGCGGATACTGAACATCGGAGAAGTTATCGGAAGACCAGTCAGATCGGAGATATGAGGTTCGGAGCTGTCAGTGCAGATGCAAGATTGAAACGACACACTGCGGATAGTGGGTACGGTAGTGAACAGCCCAATGCTAGACGGTGGAGTACTGAGCTCCAGGATGGACCTGATCATCATGCAGAGGATGCCAGGAGACTGGCACACAGAGCAATTAGTTACCGCCCTGCTGTCAACTCCCAAGGGTTTGGTTCCTCCAATGGTCCAACGTCTCCGACCAGTTTATCTCCGAAACCTTCTCTCTCTGTACAGATCTCCCATCCATCCTTGGCTAGTAACGGTTCCGGGAGCAGTGGAGTATCTTCTCTATCCTCCATGGGAGCTACTTTGGATAGCTCCGTTGACAACAGTAAAGATGTCTGTGATAACCCTAAGTGGAATCAACCGTCGCAGTTGAAACCCTCTGAACCTGTTATACCAGCTCGTAACAGTTTTGTAGCCTCGGAACCTATGGTGCAAGTTTCCAACGGCAGAACGAACGGTAAAATTGAGAAGCGGGTTTTCAATGGTGCAAACCCTTTCCAACCTAACGGGACTAAGAACATTATCGCAAAAGGTCCTGCAATTCATAGAAATCGTGATCTTTCTCTGACTAATCTTGATCGAAAACCAGTAAACGGGAATGGAACGGATGCAGATCAGGCAAAAAAATCAATTCTTAAATCTAGCCGAACCAACAGTAACTCTTCTCTACCAGGAAAGTTGCCTGTGCCTAACCAAACCCTGAGTCCAAGACATAGTCCGACTAGTCCTACTAGTCCTGTATCTTCTGGCCTTCCTAGTCCCAATTCAATCAAAAGTTTTGGGAGCTATCATTCCAATCCAAACAGCTCCGGTCTCCCAAATCCCACCGCCTTCTCCAGTCAACAAAACAAAACATCAAACTTCCAAACCTATCGTCAATATAAGGAGCAGCAGAAACTTAGCCGACAAACCGACTCTGTTTACAAAACCGAACAGAAGAGTTATACCAGCCATTCCAACGTTCAGAAAACCGGGGTAGAGATACGCTCCTATTACGAGCGAATGCAAACAACTACTACGCCAAGAGCCGGGGCTCCGCCTGAAACTTCTCCGCCGCCTCCGCCTTCGTTGAGTAAATCTCCAGTATCAAGAACTGCAATTCCAACCGCAAACCGGAGTCCGAGCAGTGTAAGCACTGGATCCTACTCCAGAGCCCCTGCTCCGGCTCGAGTTAAGGAGAAATCCCTGTTTACTGTGAAACGGGACTCTGATAGATCAGCTGTACAAGATATGCATATTCATCATCTTAGACAGAATATTGAGCAAAGGTTGAAGATATCTCTAGGAGACGATCTACCCGCCTGTCTGACAGATGGGGTTGTGTTATGTCACATGGCGAACCACGTCGCTCCGAGATCTGTCAATTCTATCCACGTTCCGTCTCCGGCGGTTCCTAAGCTCTCCGCCGCTAAATGTCAGAGGAACGTTGACAACTTCCTCTCAGCCTGTCGTAGGATCGGAGTAAGAGAAGATCTGATTTGTGGAATCTCAGATATAATGGAACCTAATAAAAGCCACACGGTTCGAGTTGCTATTACAGTAACCGAACTACTTAGATTTAAAAACGGTTAACGTCAAAAGTTTTAATATAAACATAAGCTTCAAAAGTGAGATTTGCTATTCTAGTTTCTCGTATAAGATGTAAATCCAGACCAGTCTTGTTCAATGTGGTAAAATAGAATCTCTAAATATCATAATTACGTTTTCTTTTATCGGTTTACTAAACTTGTAATAATTTTGTCCTCCATATTTATTCCGTTGACCTTGTTAAAAAAAACTTGAACTACAGTCCATGAAGCTTCCTATATGTAAGACATGATTATTTAAAGTTTAAAGCCGGCTCTATCAATAAATTTATAGAATGTTTATCTGAACAGAGATATCCTTGTCCTGTATATTTCAACCCAACTAGAAATGCAAAATCTTAGTCAAAATATGTTTTCATTCTCTACTTTAAACCAAATAAACGAAGAAGGGATTAGTGTTAATCGGAAAATTACACTCAGGGGGTGGTTGTGACCTTGAAGTTAAACAATTTGAAGGTTCTAGAAGTATTTTAAATTCTTTAAAGATTTCACGCTTTTACGGATATATTTTCCCTTTCTACCGAGGTTCTTTGTATTCTGGCATGCTTTTTGGTTGTTTGGTACGCCAAGGTGTCCTTCCGGGTAATAAAAAGGTACTCCTGGTTTCCAAGATATAGTTTGCCAAGGTTTCTCTCCCGTACAATCGCAGGTTTTCTAAAGTTTAAACTAAGATATTCGAAACTACCCTTAAGCCCTCAAGACTTCCCAGCTAAACATTCAAAATATGTATTAAGTTATTTTTGTATTTAAAATGAACATGTTGTCAAATCCCGCATTTTATAGTTATAAAAAAGTAAATTTGTTGAAAGTATCTTCCTTTTACGTTGAGTAAACGTTGATTTGAATCTCTTTAAATTTCAATTCTAAATAAATGCCTATTTCTTTACAATTCCAGAATTGCCAAAACTTGCATTAGAAATTGAACTAAAAAAGAATATTACCATTGTATTGTGCCATTAACATATATTGGTCTAAAAATTGTCAAAGAAATGTTCTTGTAACAACCCCCCCCCCTCCACCAAACACCCCTGCATTAATGTTATATATGAAAAGAGAATATTTTTATAATCAACCTTGTATTGTTTATCGATCTTAGTGCTAGCGCAGAGACCGATAAAGATAGATCTTAGATTTTCGTAAATATATTAAATTGAACCTGTTGTATTTAGTTACAGTGTGACGAACACGTTGAAACATTAAAGTATTATTTATACAATGCCTATTCCAGAAGAATGGATAATATGAGAACTCCGCGGGACGGAGAAAACTCGGAGACATTTCTGTGTCGGGTTCGAGAATTCTTCCACCCTACTCCAAGTGAGATCAGGATAAAGCAGGAAACCAGAGAGTTGGTGGACTTTGCAGTTTATTTCAGTTTACGGTATGAATTATATTTTTATCTATAGTTTGGTTGCAAGACGGGTATATTTTTTCATTATTTTCCTAGTCGGGACGACATTTCAATTTTTGTATGCTGGGTATGTTGTCAGTAATGCTGGTGTTTTTTTTTATCTTAAGATCATTAAAGAAACTGGCGAAAAAAGTTCAAATAGAAACTTATTTTAATTTAAGGACTAACTTCTCCGGAAGTTCGACGAGAACAGAATCCTGCCTTCGACGATGCATCAGTAGGATGCATGAGAAGCACTCCATGGTGTTTGGTGGGATGATGACGAGATTAAATATCAACAGAAACATTGATTTCTACCAGGGGTTCATCGAGGTATCGGAGGAACTCTTCCGGGAGGAGATCAGCTGGTCCAAGATTGTTGCTCTCTATGCATTCGGAGCAAGGTTGGCTCAGTTTTGTGCAGAGAACGATATGGAGGATTTACTCCGGGATATATCGGAGAGTCTAGCGAGGTTTTCTGATGAGCATTTAGCAGCTTATATACTAGCACAGGGTGGCTGGGTAAGATTATTATTCACTATTGATTAACAGGGGGATTATTTTACTACACTCTTAATGTAGAGAATACATTTTGCCAGAGACAACCTGGAAATCTTAAAATATGCCATCGTTAAATATATTTAGTTCAATCACACGATTCTTTTTGATTCAACCCCGCTTCCCTTTCTGCAATTGTTTAGTTTCTCATTTCATTTAAATTAAATTTGAACATAGTGTTTTGTTTTGTAGGAGACTTTGTGTGATGAATATCCACCTGAAGATGAGTTAGAAACTCGAGTTTGGAAATCTTTAGGTATTCTTGCGCTCTGTCTTACCTCCGCCTCAGTATTTCTCGTACTCCGGAGATGACCTGAACCTTGAACCTGATCCTACTAAGCTCTGAAACCTGCCACTTAGAATTCCTGAATGTCCAATTAAATACATCTTCAACTTGGACACAGGATAATTTTTCAAGTTTTATTTACTTAGACAAACTTCAAAATCAATCATTGTTAAGAAAACGTCTGATTTCCTTGTTCAATTTTTTTATGTGCATTATTGATAAAATGTTATTACAATTTTTGTGAACATCTGTACTCTAATGGTTGCATTAAAACAATGCAAATACATGAGACTTCAAGTGTGTTTTCATACCGGCCCCATCAGAATGATGCTTCAGAATATACAGAACACAACATTGTTGTTCAGTAGATCCTCAAAGAATTTTTTATTCTCCAAATTAGTTTGTTAATAAGGGTTAATGTTGAGTAAATCCGCTTACGCTTTCGAGTTATTTTTTCATGGAACAATCATTAACTCCTTTATTATTCCTTATTTTTCCAAACTCTTTAAATATTTGACTGAGGTTTACAAATTATCCAGTTCTCTAATTAAAATCTCTAATTTTACATTCATGCATACTCATTGTTGAACAATTATTTAAATAATGCTACCGTTGGTATTATTCTATATTTTTGTATCGAATCAGCCTCCACTTCCCACTGTAATAATGGAAGGCAGTAGCCGGGTGTTGTGTTTTGAATACTAATTTCTACCTTCTCATGCATTGTCAGGACAACCCCTTGTTTCCATATAAACTTGACTAAAATTAACTATTTTTTTAATTAATAAAGTTTCTAAAATTTGTTCTGCCAGTTTTTAGTAATTCTTATAGTTTGTTACGTGAACCTATGATAAACGCAAGAAATGTATCAATATTATTTCTAAGATACTTTGTAAGTCAATCAGGGGTATAAATTGATGACCTCCTCTCCCCCACTAAAAAAAAGTCTGGAGTCGATTGCTTTACATACTTTTTTGGGCGTAATAATTTTAAAAAAATATTTCTCAGAAAATTATTTCGCAGGAGGGGACAAAATTTAATTAACAATATTAACCCGTAAATATTATGTTTATTCGAAGTTGTGAAGAAACTGTAAAATCTGTTGAATTCTAGTCGTTTTATATTCATTTATTGTAAACTAAAATCAGTAAAAAAAAATAAAAATAATTAATCGATTTATTCATAATCACCATACGGTTATTACGTACTTGATCTTGGTGAACAACCAAAATTGACATTTAAAAAAAATGTTGAATAGTTGATTTATCTTGCTCCGTAAAGATATTGTTTTTTTTTTAGGCTGGTGCATGATTAGATTGAGACTAAACTTGATTACTGGTATTATTGGACTGATTAAATATTTTATATTACAGTATTTTTATTCATACTTTATTTATATTGCATGATCTAAAAAAGGGATTTTTTTACCGTTTTCTCAGCCAATTCACTTTTTGATACTTTGATAGCGATTTCTGCTGTTCTTTTTTGTTTTTTATCCAATCTTTGTTTTTATAAATTATTTTATTTTTTTTCAAATTTTTTAGAATTTGAAGAATTCGTAATTTTGAAAAAGTTAAAAATGTTGTATCTCTTCATAAATATAAGTTTTGATGAAAAATAATCATTGTTTGTAAAAAAAATTACATTTTTCAAAAGACGTGAAATATTGAAGAAAGTCGAGGACACTTCAGATCTTCAGGAAAGGCGTTTAACAACATTTATTCAGTTCATCATCATTTCTTTTAAACATTGATCAGAAAATAAATAAAGTATTTGTTAAGGAACTCAAAAACGGTATTTTTTCAGATTATTTTTCTCCTAAAAATGGACTCTGAGGACTCCGAAGATGAGAATATTGAGTTTAATCTGGATTCAGGAATATGGAGTTGAATAATATTCGGAGGAAGGGAGGGAGGTGGGAGTAAAGTTGAACACGAGACTGATAAAAGAAATTTGTAAGTTTAAGTGATTGTATAAAGGAACTGATAACTCGTCATAAACTCTAATGTAACATCCATATATCTTTGAATCCTGTCTTCTGTATATTTGATAAATGAAATTAGCTAGACCTAACAGTTAATGGCTGAAATATCAAATGATTACATCGGGTTAAAAAAATATATGTAAAGGAATTAGAAAATCGGAGTTACCCCAACGACAAATTCCAAATTTTTACCAATTAATGGTTCAGGAAACTTGCGCTCTAGCTTTTAAAAAAATTAAGAGGAAAAATATTGGCAATTCTAGATCAATATTTCTTAGGAAGAATTTAAAATGCATTTATTATCCATTTCACCTATTCCACCTACAGAGTGAAGACATATGTATTATCCATTTCACCTATTCCACCTACAGAGTGATGACATATGTATTATCCATTACACCTATTCCACCTACAGAGTGATGACATATGTATTATCAATTACACCTATTCCACCTACAGAGTGATGACATATGTATTATCCATTACACCTATTCCACCTACAGAGTGATGACATGTATTATCCATTACACCTATTCCACCTACAGAGTGATGACATATGTATTATCCATTACACCTATTCCACCTACAGAGTGATGACATATGTATTATCCATTACACCTATTCCACCTACAGAGTGATGACATATGTATTATCCATTACGTTCGAGATACAAAAATAATTACTGAAATGTTGTGTCATTGTTATATTCTCAATCTGGTTTGGTTCAACCATTTACCAACTACAGGGTTACCCACAAAGAATGAGACTTCAGAGACGAGTTTACGCAGTTAACGCTGTCTTTTCATCACATTCATGATTTCCTAAAACTAAACTTGTTTCTTTCTTTTCCAAATCATAAATCATTGAAAGACTAAATTCAATCGTCATATTTTTAGAGTTTTTAGTCGTCTTTTCAGTCTCATCCTTTGTCGTTAACCCTGTATATCATACGACTCGAAGATGTTTTTTAAATAAGATTCACAATGTCAACTCCCCTGAGTGCAGGATTAAATGAGGTTGTGCCGGAGATTAAACGTAACCTTGTTGGATTCTGGCTCCTCGGACTCTTCAACAACTTTGCATATGTCATCATGCTCTCTGCCGCTCATGATCTGCTCCGAGAGAATGCGAACCAGGATGAAATAGAACCTCAACCAGAGATAGGGAGCGCAGACAATGAAACTAGCCCCATTCTTTATTCAAATAATACAGGTATATTAATAGGACTGTGAGCGTAATTTCAAATGAACCTCCATGCAAAAATTGCAATTTTCGATTTACAACGATACCTTCTTTCATTTGTGCTTTCTCTATAAAATTGACTTGCGCATTTCTACTGTATGCTGGAAAACATTGAGTTATCAGAATTAAACACTTTTTAACCTAGAATAACGACATTATTTTCCATATTGATCAGATCAAGGTTTCAAGGATACCATTTTGAATCGGGCATTCTCATTGTCATGAATTAAAAACAATCCCGTGGTTTTACTGAGTTTCCCAATCAATATTTGAGCCAAATCGACCACAAACAAACAGAGATTAGTACTTTATATATAAAGATACAGATAAAGGATTGCCCGGCTCTATTCAACATAAATTCATTACATATTCTTACGATGCTCTGCTTTATTATTATCACATGCGTATTGTTTAAAATTTAATATAATTAAGGACGAGATTGTAATCCTGTTTCAACTGGAGCAATTCTTTTGGCAGATATTCTTCCTGCCATACTCATCAAATCCTTAGCTCCGTTCCTACATTTACCTGCAAGCTTGAAGGTATAAAACCAAGGATAGATATTCTTCCTGTCATACTCATCAAATCCTTAGCTCCGTTCCTACATTTACCTGCAAGCTTGAAGGTATAAACTCAAGGATAGATATTCTTCCTGCAATACTCATTAAATCCTTAGCTCCCTTTCTACATTTACCTGCAAGCTTTAAGGTATAAAATCAAGGATAGATATTCTTCCTACTATACTCATCAAATCCTTAGCTCCCTTCCTACATTTACCTGCATGTTGAAGGTATAAAATCAAGGATAGATATTCTTCCAGCAATGCTCATCAAATCCTTAGCTCCATTCCTACATTTACCTGCAAGCTTGAAGGTATAAAACAAGGTTAGATATTCTTCCTGCAATACTCATCAAATCCGTAGCTCCGTTCCTATATTTACCTGCAAGCTTGAAGGTATATATTTGCAAGCTTCAGGGGTGTGTATTTTTCTGAAAAATTATCCCCCCTGCTCTCATTTGAAATACATTATTCCCCAGAAGTTAGGTTTTTTTTTCAGATTTTTTTATCCCTGAATTGGGGGAAATAAATGATAAATAAATTTTTGGGGAAAAAGTATGAAAATTATGAAAAAACTTGCCATTTCATGCCAATTTTTTATTTTTTTCCAGATCTTCAAAAATAATTTTTATAAAACACCACTACAAAAAATGTACGTCCATAACAAATTTTAAAAAGAATAAAGGTGAAGAACTGATAAATAGTATTATAATAAGACTCAAATTTACCTTTAGGAAAGAACTGAAGGAGATTTCGGGTTTTGATAATGGAGTAAAAATGGAAAAGGAAAGGAAATTAGGGGCAAAGGAAAGTTAACAAAGTTAATGGAACTTGAAACCTTAATGTTACATTTCGGAGAGCCAAAGATATTAGACAAGTATCAATAAATCTTTTGATTTTATGAAACTATAATGTACTTTATCATTCTTCCTCACTTCATCGTGAATTTCATAATGAACGTACTATAAAGTAATCATCGTGCTATAAAGTTAAATTAGCTGTTCATTATAGCATGCGTGCTTCATAGTTTTGATTGGTTCCCGGATTTTTTCCAAATAATTTAGGATATTTCCAAAATATTTTTTTTTATTTGTAATGAAATTAAAATTGAAATCAATTTTATATTTTGACTTCTGCTTTGTTTCAATGCTTATTTGATCTAGGAATGGTCATTGAAATAAGACAAGTACACAAACGTTTCATAAAATTACCTAAAACATTATTATTTGGCACGACTTACTAAAAAGTTTTTGGACTAAAGCTCGGGACAAAATTAAATCTAAAACGCCTTGAACCTTCTCGATAAAGAGAAAATTTCTGTCCAAAAAGTTCATAACACTGTGAACCAAAATAACGGGGTTATAGATAGTTAATTAACGCTGTGCTTGTTTAGGTTTCTGTTGTGACAATCCTTGCTGGAGCAAGCTTTCTCATAGTTTCTTTCTCCCACTCCAACCTAGTCACGTATACCGGAGTTATCTGTGCATCCCTTAGCTCCGGGTTAGGAGAGGTAGTTAAATATCATCTTCTTCTCTCCTGTACAGTGAACATCTCTTCTGTAACGTAATCATTGATGGTCATAAAATGTATCTCATTCTTAACGAACCTTTTGAATTAAATGTTTTTATGTCACTAGATTTGGGGGGGGGGGGATTTTATTTGGCGAAATGTCAAAAATTTAAAAATCATTCCAATTAATTTACCATTTTTCATTCGTTCTTTAGAATCTTTGAAATCATTTTATCGTGTTGTAAACCGCAACTTTAAATTTTTAAACATTTTAGTATTTATATTTGTTTTTAATAATTTAAGTTTCTTAATATCATAAAGGTAACATTCCTATCCTACAGCCATCAGTTCCATCCTATGGTAATCTCAGCCTGGAGCAGTGGAACCGGAGGAGCTGGAGTTCTTGGAGCAGGATCCTTTGCTCTTCTCACTCATTTAGGTAGATTTTTACATAATACAGTTTTTACATGTGTATTTCAATCCTTACATTTGTACAGTGTACTAGCACATGTACATTTACGTGTACAGTGCAAATAGTTTGTTTGTTAATATTATTATAATAATAATAATTATTATTATTATTATTAATATAGATCAATATTTATATTAATTTAATTATTTTGCACTGACAACATGCACAGGTCACACTCACTTTTTCTTTTACATTATTGATGTATTCTTTAATGAAGGCCGCACCTCATAAGATTCTCATATTATCATTATACATCATTTTAATTATTATTATTATTATCATTATTATAATTATGATTAATATCAGGATTATCTCCCCGGACTACTTTGCTCCTGATGCTGGTTGTTCCTGTCGGGATGTTTCTCACCTTCTTCTTCCTGATCAAGCCCAGCTCCCAGGGACACGCAGAGGATTCTGTTCCTCTAGTTCTCCAAGAGGAAACAGAACTCGGGTCGAGGATGACTTTTCAGGAGAAACTAGGTTCAATGCGAGGTTTACTCCGGTACATGATTCCCCTTGGATTGGTTTATTTCTTTGAATATTTGATAAATCAAGGTAAATATCAAATATAATTTTTAAAGGGATCTAAAAGGGTTACGCACAAAGGATGAGACTTCAGAGACGACTGAACGGATATTATTCAGCCTTTCTTAGATTGTAAGTTGCCCGAAGCTTGTATAGTTCTTTCTTTCTTTGCCAAATTATTTAATGTAACATTAATTAACTATATTGAGTGAAGAAAGCGAATTTTTAATCATTATGTTTAAAGACTTGCAAGTCGTCTTTACATTCTCATCTTTTGTAGGTCTAAGAGGATAGTTTTATCGCATGTTGATGCGTTGCACCTTGAGGGCGGTCTGGGGGTTCCATATCGGGTTTCCTTTCAGATCTTGTTATTATTATCATAATTATTACAATAATCGCCATTTGCAACATTTTACGCGAAAAAAATCGACAAAACCAAAAACTAGTTTTTTTTTCAAAAAATAGTAGTTGATTGCACATTAAAGTTATTCTTTTTAGTCGCAAAAAAATATTGACTCATAATTAATAGGGTTGCAATAACATCAAATATCTAAGGGAGCATATTTTTGAAAATTAAGAAATTAGAAATGTTTTTTCAAGATCTACTGAAATTGATTAATTGGAAATTTTGGGCATGTTTTTTCACACTTTTTACCCACAAATTTATACATTTTCTCTAAAAAAATCATTTGTTGTTGCCAATTCATCAAATGAAACCCTAAAAAATACCTAAATTCTTGGGGGAGGGGGAATGCTTTTTCAAGAAAATATACACCCCTTTATCATCTCTTACTATGAATATATTGTACAGGATTGTTCGAGTTACTTTACTTCCCTAAGTCTGGCCTAACTCACAGCCAACAGTACAGGTATGGGATGCACCTTTTATAAACTACAATTAATATGATAATGTTAATTTTTAAAGATGGTATCAGTTAGATTATCAGATGGGAGTTCTTGTCTCCAGGTCTTCTCTTCATTGGATCAAGATTGAGAAAATTGGGTTGCTCGCTCTTCTGCAGTTCACTAATTTCATCATTTTCCTTTTACAGGTAGGTTTCTATTCTCCGGTCTTATTCCAGGTTTCTGTTCTCCTGGTCCTATTCCAGGTTTCTCTCCTGGTCCTATTCCAGGTTTCTATACTCAAGATTCTATTCCAGTCTTCTATTCTCCTGGTTTTATTCCAGGTTTTATCCGCGTTATCCTATTCCAGGCTTCTATTCACTTGGTCCTGTTCCAGGTTTCTATTCTCCAGGTTTTATTCCAGGTTTCTATTCTCCTGGTCCTATTCCAGGTTTTATTCCAGTTTTCTATTCTCCTTGTTTTATTCCAGGTTTCTAGTCTCCAGGTCTTAGTCCAGGTTTCTATTTTCCTGGTCCTGTTTCAGGTTTCTATTCTCCTTGTCCTATTCCAGGTTTCTATTCTCCAGGTTTTATTCCATGTTTATATTCTCGTGGTCCTATTCCAGGTTTCTATAATCCAGCTCCTATTCCAAATTTATATTCTCTTGATCCTGTTCCGGGTTTCCTTTCTCCTGGTCCTATTGCAGGTTTCTATTCTCCAGGTTTTATTTCAGGTTTTTATTCTCTTAGTCCTATTCCAGTTTTCTATTCTTCTGGCCTTATTCCAGGTTTCTATTCTCCTGGTCCTATTCCAGGTTTCTATTCTCCATATCCTATTCCAGGTTTCTTTTCTCCTGGTCCTATTCCAGGTTTCTGTTCTCCTGGTCCTATTCCAGGTTTTTATTCTTCAGGTTCTATTACAGGTTTCTAGTCTCCTGGTCCTATTCCAGGTTACCATTCACCTGGTCCTATTCCAGTTTTCTATTCTTCTGGCCTTATTCCAGGTTTCTATTCTCCTTGTCCTATTCCAGGTTTCTATTCTCCAGGTTTTATTCCATGTTTATATTCTCGTGGTCCTATTCCAGGTTTCTATAATCCAGGTCCTATTCCAGATTTCTATTCTCTTGATCCTGTTCCGGGTTTCCTTTCTCTTGGTCCTATTCTAGGTTTCTATTCTTCTGGCCTTATTTCAGATTTCTTTTCTCCTAGTCCTATTGCAGGTTTCTTTTCTCCAGGTTTTATTTCAGGTTTTTATTCTCCTAGTCCTATTCCAGTTTTCAATTCTTCTGGCCTTATTCCAGGTTTCTATTCTCCTGGTCCTATTCCAGGTTTCTATTCTCCAAATCCTATTCCAGGTTTCTTTTCTCCTGGTCCTATTCCAGGTTTCTATTCTCCTGGTTCTATTCCAGGTTTTCATTCTTCAGGTTTTATTACAGGTTTCTAGTCTCCTGGTCCTATTCCAGGTTACTATTCTCCAGGTCCTATTTCAGGTTACCATTCTCCTGGTCCTATTCCAGGTTTCTATTCTTCTGGCCTTATTCCAGGTTTCTTTTCTTTTGGTGTTATTTCAGGTTTCTTTTCTCCTGGTCCTATTCCTGGTTTCTATTTTCCTGGTCTTATTTCATGTTTCTTTTCTCCTGGTCCTATTCCAGGTTTCTATTCTTCTGGTCCTATTTCAGGTTTTTATTCTCCTGTTCCATGTCTTCTTGATCCTGGTCCTATTCCAGCTTTCGTTTCTCGGTTACATTTTTATAGTTTTATTCCATGCTTCCTTTCTCCTTATTTTATTCCAAGTTTCCTTTCTTTAAGTCTTAATCTAGGTTTCCTTTCACCAGGTCTTATTCCAAAGTGATTAAATGCTAAAGTGGGCCAAACTCATAGTTGGATGACGACATTTTATGTCCCAAGTATTTAAAAATAATGTATGTGTATATATATATATATATATATATATATATTTAAAATTGGTCTGTACGGAGTGCACAATACAACAGAAACTGGATTCCCTTTGTTTACAAACACAGACTTATAATTTGTATTTAACTTAAATGTATATTAACGTAAATTAAGATTTCAGAAGTGAATTTTAGCCATTTTACTGCACAATAAATAATTTCAGACAGCACAATAATGCCTGCATGCATTGCATAATCTTTAAAACAAGGAATGCACAATTTGTGATACCGAAAAATAAATTCCAATTATATCTCTTGGTCTTCACTTTTGTATTTTGACAGATTAATGAGTGGTTGAGAACTTGACATAATTAAGAGAGGCGTATTCAGGTTTTTTTTTCCAGGAATGGGTTACATTTATTTTCATCTTTTGGGTTGGGGGGGGGGGGGGGCTCTATATATCTTTCACTTATCCAAGAGGGGGTGAGCCCCCAATGCCCCCCTGAATACGCCTCAGGATATAACATAGATGTTTTTAAGAAATTTACAAACATGTTTCGGAATGGAGTGAGATTTGAAAGAACAAAACTAAGCAGTTTTAAAGAAATATTCCTATAAAATTAGAAGTGCCGGGCAAAATCAATGAATTGATTAATTAAGCGACTATATAGTATTTACATACTATAAGTACATACAAACATAAAAAAAAAATGATTTTTAATAATGAAAATTTCGAAGTTTTAACTGAAGACGACATTTACATGGTTCTTTAGTCTATTTTTTCTAGTCTTTACTTTCCAAAAGAAATCTTTTTGCAATTATTTCCAAACCAAATAAAACCTTATGGCCAACCTGTCGTCGTTGCTGTAGTCTGTTCCACTTTAGTATTTATTCACTTTGTTCTGATTCAAGGTTTCCTTTCTGCTGTTCTATTTCGGAAATGAGTGAAATAAATGTTCGTATTTTTTGGAAAATTAAAAAACAGAACTCAAATAAAGAAATGTATTAAAACGATATGTTCTAGTTTCAAGTTTCTATAGAAGAAAGAGTAAATATGAATATATGAGTATAGAGAAGAGAATATATGTAAACTCTACTCTGATAAATGGAACCTAGGTATCAAGGTTTGTTCTGAAAGGATGGAAAGCATAAATATGAATCCTAAGACATGAATAATTGACCGTGTGATAAATTATTTATCCTTGATGGAGAAATATTTTCCTTTGATTAGATAAATATAAATATATGATAGAATATGGTGGTAGGAGGGATAATTCATTGTACATCAGCTACAGCTGTGATCAACTTTAATTCATAATGTAACACACATCTATATATTATTTCTATCATTAAGAGAGTATTTGATTCGTTCTATTTCACATTTTTATCCAATATATTTCTACAGAGAAATTGATAGAACCCGTTCTCCTAAGACCCCAAAACTGTATATATCCTATTAGTCCTCTGTAGTCTAGAGTATATACTGGGTGAGTTCTAGTCTATGGATTGTACTAGTCCTATTCTAGAGTATATACTGGGTGAGTTCTAGTCTATGGATTGTACTATTCCTATTCTAGAGTATATACTGGGTGAGTTCTAGTCTATGGATTGTTTTTCTCCTGATATTTTTGGAAGGATTACTGGGTGGAGCTGCTTACGTTAATACGTTCTACAGGTTAGTTTAATCATTTCGCAATTCGATATCAATTCATCCAAAAATAATTTTATTTTTTGAGAAATAATTCAATAATTTGAATGTTTTGACGAATTAGATTATTTCTTATTTCTTGAAGCATCAAAATGTGTAAAAAGGCATGCAAGGTGAAGTCCCATTTCGAAATTATTTTCCAAGAAAAATCTGTGTTTCTAGGATTTCTATGGAGGTTGAGACCCGGAGAAAGGAGTTCTCTCTAGGTATAGCATCTCTAGCAGACTCTACTGCTATAGGATTGGCAGGGTTCGTCTCCATCTATATTCATAATCTCATCTGCGCTCTTCCAATCAACAATTCTTCCTTTCTCGCCTAGTTTTACGACCAAATCATGAAGAAAGAACTGAACATTGGCCTCCAACTATCTTCTAATCCCTAGCAACCTCGTGGTGGAAAACGTTGATATTTCAAATCTTGACTACTTGATCCAGCAGAATAAAAGATAGCTTGAAATATTAAAGCTCTCCGTCATCAGGTTCCAAAGATATAAGGATATAAAGTGATAATATGAAAGTAATTAACTGCTCCTAATTTATTCATTCTTCCATATTCACGGCGCGAACTTGTCCATGTTAGAGGAAATAATTCTCTAAAATTTAGAAAGAAAATTTACATTAAAAACACTATCAGGGCTTTATTAATTTAGTAAGACCTACATTTGAAAAATCTAAATTTGTCGCCTAAAGCAATTAAAAAATTTTAAATCTCTGCTTTCAATGCTTTTTTTCTGAAATTATATTTACAATGAATCTATCAAGGAATAAGATTTTACGTAAAAAGGTTTCAGATACTAACATATATTAACAGTATTATAATTTTTATATTAAAAAATTGCATAATTTTATTAGATATTCTGAACTCAATTATCAGTGATTTATACAATTAAATTTGTAACGAACAAATTAATTTATTTCCATATTTTTATTTTTTGTATATTTTTAATGATTGTAGAACTTTTTTATATTTTTATGTTCTCAACAGAATAAACGTTTATAATGTGTCAGTAATTAGCTGAGTATAAATGAAAAGAAAATATATATTTTTTTAGATTATTTTCTTTCGTCAGATGAATGGAAATAAATGATTTCCATGACCACCTAATAATGTGAAAAGGTGACGTTTCTGAAATAATTGGCGTTATCTGGTCTCCATGGTCTTCAGTTTTTACCCTGCCTTTAGATATTAGTCGCTGATAAGACTGCGGCGCTGGTTAGAGGAGAAAATTAAACATTTTCCAATTCCTTTTTCCTTTCTTCCCGATACCCTAGTTAGGGGTTGGTAAGATTTGTAGCATATTTTATGTTTGTATTTATAGATTTATCTATAATGACAAACCTGAAGAAATAGGCTTCTCATCAGTTCTCAGATAATCAGACGGATTCGAAATATCCAAACCCTTGAACACACATTTCTTCCCACCNCCCCCCCCCCCTACCCTATACAGTTACAGGAGCTTAGCAAATACAAGGAATATAATTTATTTAGTTTCAATAGTATAACAGCTGTCTTGCCTCTACACTACTTCTCTTTCTATAGTATTACAATAGAACTTGTTCTAATACAGATTTGCAAGTTAAGCTTTGGTATTCAGATAATGCAAAGATAGACATAGATGTTTTGCAATTATTAAACCTATTTGGTTGATTAGAAATGACATAGATATGTGTAAGATAAACCCTTTCCTCACAACTTTTCCCACACCCTCACTGGGTACTGCTATATCTCCATTTTACATGCACAATTTTTAAAGGTTAATGAGGGTTCAAAGAAGTTACAAGCATCTAAGATTACTTCTCTTGTCCCATCAGTGTATTCTATGGGTATATCTACGTGAACTTTGATGAAATTTCTTCCATTATCCTGTGTTTGTAAATATCTGGTTCTCTAAGAATACTTATTTATAAACCTCTGGTTCTCCTAGAATTCTGTGTTTTTAAACCTCTGATTCTCTTAAAATCTATAGTTCTATTAAACCTCTGGTTCTCCTAGAATCCTTTTCTAATAAACCTCTGGTTCTCCCATTATCCTGTGTTTGTAACCTCTGGTTCTCTTAGAATACTTATCTTTNGGTTCTCCTAGAATCCTAGTTCTGTAGGTTCCTTTTTTTTGGTTCTAGTCCTGGATCTGTAGGTTTCTTCTGGATCTCGCTAGAGTTCTAGTTCTGTAGGTTTCTTCTGGTTCTCTTAGAATTCTGTTCTGTTGGTTTCTTTTGGTTCTCCTTTAAGCCTAGTTCTGTAGTTTTCTTCTGGTTCTGTAGATTACTTCTGGTTCTCCTAGAATCCTAGGGTTCTAAAGGTTTCTTCTGGTTATAGTATAGAACCCTGGTTCTGAAGGTTTCTTCTGGTTCTTGTGGAATCCTGGTTCTGTCTGTAGGTTTCTTCTGGTTCTTAGGTTTCTTCTGGTTCTCCTAGAATCCTGGTTCTGTATGTTTCTTATGGTTCTCCTAGAAACCTAGTTCTGTAGGTTTCTTCTGGATCCTGTAGAATCCTAGTTAAAGAAATGTTTTTTTTCTGTTTCCCCTAAAATCTTCGTTTATATAACTTTCTCCTGGTTCTCATCTCATCCTGTGTCTAAAAACCCCATCTGGGTCTAAAGGTTTCTTCTAGTGCTCGTAAAATCATGATTTACAAACGTCTCAGAGTTCTCCTGGCTATTGATAAAAAAATTAATTTAGTACCCTCAATAGTACTCTGCTCTTCTTTTTTTAAATACCTCTAAATGCTATTTAGGTCCTTGAAGAAATCTTGGGTTTCCCAGTTCTACTGGTCCTTGTGGTTATACGGTTGGTTAATAAATGAGAGTTTTCTGCCTTAGGTAAAGGATATTTCTTTAGAATGTTAATATGAAATATGAGAGTAGAGAGAGATGTATCTCAACTATCTATTACAGAGAAGGGGGGGAATAAAAACTAGGCAAACAAAGCAGGAACCCGGGGTTGCAAAGGTTTTTGCCAAGTCAATCAGAAGAGATTCATTAGGAGAGTAAAAAGGAAAACTAATGGCATTAGGAATGACATCTTGAGATTTATTTAGAGACATTGTCGAGTCATTCCATCAATCCCGGAGTAAACCAGGGATTAGAGAGAATATTTACAAGATTTGGTTAAATCTTGCAATGTTTATTTTTACAGTTTTAATCGGTTTGGTCCTGTGTCTTGTGACCTGTAACCGTAAACATCTTTCTTTTTGTAAAATTAAATTGCTGTCTAAACAAATCACCCATATGTATTCTTTTACCCCGCTTTCATTTTCATGACTAGGAGAATCACAGAAAATTAGCAAAATTGTAATGAGAAAATTCACAATTTTCAGTTCTGGTCTAATTTTTAAGGAAACGTTCTTTAAATCCTCTATTTCCTTTCTTCTTAGTATATTGTAAAGCTATAAATATACGCTGTTCAGTTGAAAACTGAGGTGCCATTGAACAAACAACTTTTCCTTAAAAATTAGACCAGAACTGAAAATTGCGAATTTTCATAAAACAATTTTGCGAATTTTCTGTGATTCTGTTATTCAATATTTACAAAATTTTAGAATTTGATTGATATTGTATATATACACATTTTTGCTTTTCTGAACTTTACATTTTGAGAGAGAAAAAAGTTTCGTGAATTTTTTTGGGGGCAATTGGAGTATCCAACAAATATTGAAAAAATAACATACAGGAGAATTCCACAAAAAAGTTCAATTTTGCACCAGACGTATCGCTAATCATAAAAGACTCACCCAGTATGGTAAAAATATATATCTATATATTGTATAAATATAAATGTTTCCAATTTTCATAATTTCAGATTTACTATGATTGAATAATCAACATATGGGCAACGAACGAACATTTCAATCATTAATTGTATTAAAACTATCTAAGATTTGTGTCAAAGCTATATTTGCATTGAGAGTAAAACACAAGGATGAAAAAGACCATGAAAAGAGAGAGATAATCTAATTATATATTCCTCTCTCAATTACTGACAGTCGATACGCTTAATTGCTGATACAGGGATAATGCTTAATTGAAAGTCCAAATATATATATATATTTATATATATGTATATACATATATATGCATAAATACAATTTACTGACAATAGATTGGTGAGTTGGTGACACAAGGAGATCAAGTTTAGACGTTTTTTAGAACATTACAAGGCCTTGGTATGTTTATATTTTTATGATTTTTTGGCTTGTTACCTGACGAAAAAAAACACACAAAAACGTATTCCAACTTACCCAATCTTTTCGTTCAAAAAGTACTTAAGATTTTTTTAGAAAATAAACTAAATTTGAAATAGTTTTTAATGGGCTACAGCTCTATTTTGAGAGAAAGTCTCAATCATTTGATCCTCAGGAACATCCGAGGACGAATGGTTATCATGTGTATTTTTAAATAGGTGAGTACTCTCTTAAGGACCCTGTAGATTTTTGATATTATTGACATGTTCAACACCCTGTAGATATTTGATATTATGAATAACATGTTCAACACCCTGTAGATATTTGATATTATGAATAACATGTTCAACACCCTGTAGATATTTGATATTATGAATAACTTGTTCAACACCCTGTAGATATTTGATATTATGTCTAACATGTTCAACACCCTGTAGATATTTGATATTATGTCTAACATGTTCAACGCCCTGTAGATATTTGGTATTATGTCTAACTTGTTCAACACCCTGTAGATATTTAATATTATTGACATGTTCAACACCCTGGTGATATTTAATATTATTGACATGTTGAACACCCTGTAGATATTTAATATAATTGACATGTTCAACACCCTGTATAGTTTATATATTTGATATTATGTCTAACATGTTCAACACCCTGTAGATATTTAATATTATTGACATGTTCAACACCCTGTAGATATTTAATATTATTAACATGTTCAATACCCTGTAGATATTTAATATTATTGGCATGTTCTACACCCTGTAGATATTTAATATTATTGACATGTTCAACACCCTGTAGATATTTAATATTATTGACATGTCTCTCCCGCACTGTATCTCCCTGAACCCAACCATGCCAGCCTACATTTAATTAAACTGAGTGCGCGCGTGAATTCAATCCTGAAATCTTTAAGAATTTGCATCAAGTGCGGAGAGAAGTCCATTTACATAATAATTCTTCGTGTTCTCTCCGTCCTTAGCTTCTAGCAGACCTTAACACTCTGTATTCAATGTAGAATATGTAAATCCGGGTTCCAGCTTCTATCCGCTTAAATCAAATCTATCCGAGCCGGGATTTTATAAAAAAAAAATATTTATAGAAAGGGAGGGTTGTTTAAACACATGAAATGTTAACTTTTGAATGTGATAGAGTTTAATTTCTGCAGAACTCAACTTCTTTAATTAACTTAACTCTTTCAGGTGACGAATGTCAAATGGTCTCAAAAACTGAAGACAGGACGGTATGAACTCACTTCAGAAGAGTACCCCCCCTCCTTTTTTTGGGGTTTTAATATTGTTACAATAAAATTTTGTTAACACCATGCCTGTTTAGAGAAGCTACTATTTTTTATCTATATATTTATACTTCGCTTGTCCGTCAATCTAGTTTGTTATCCAATAAACGTCAGAGCCAATTGGAACCAAATTTTGGATGGCAACTTCCATGGGCCCAGGAATGATCAGAACTTAAACATTTACATTTACATTTACATTTACATAAATCCACGAAAAAAAATCGATAAAATAACAATTAAAAGTTAAATCCGATGCCAAACATTATTAACTGTTTTTTTTATTTTGGAATTTTACGTTTTAAAGATAAATATCTATTTGTAACCCTCTGTATTGAGCACAACTGTAAGATATCTTAGTTACCATTTCTTCTTCCCCCATTCATCCTGATTTCCTTTATATCCTGGCCCTTTAAACCCTATTAGTTGACAGAGAGTTGTTTTTGTCCGTTTTCTCCTAAAGATAATGGGAAGGTTCCATTAACCAGGAGGATAGTTCCAATTTCAACTTTTTACTCTCGTCACT